TTAGATTTAAAATTCAATATGAGTGGAAAAATAAATTGTATTTATTATTAGGTTCCAAGCGAATACCTTATTATTATTAATTTTCTCTATTTTGAACTGAAATTCATCATTAAATTTGTAATATAGTTTACTTCTGCATAGTTTTTTTTTTTCTCTCATTGTAAACTAGTTCTGTAAATTGAACTGTTATTTAAAATTTAAAAAAAAAAGTAATTATTTCCATGGTTGAGGTAGTAATGCTTATTCTCTCTTAATAAATACTGCATTTCTCATATTTTAAATTACAAGTCTAATTTTTAAGGTTATGCAGTTGTGTATAATGTAATTAGACAGGTGCTTATTTTTTTTCTTAAAATGTGCTTGAAAAGTGCTTATAGGTGCTTATTTTTTTAACTAAAATATGACTATGAACCCTGTGGGAAGTGAGAGGGAAAAAAGCATGAGTTTTGTTATTACTTTCAATCATTCTGAACTTCTTTGGCAGGGGGGGGGAAAGCTGGGATGTTTTCACTGTTGGTTTTGTCATTTGCTTTCTGGTTGGTAGTGATGGCACCAGGATTCATCACCTGCGACAGCTATGTCCAAGAAATTGTCCTCAGCACAATACTGGAGAAGGTGCTGCAACGTCAATCCATGCAAAGCCACCTCTGATTGTCTGTGAGATTGTGTGGAACCCAGTGTGCACTCAGTTTCCTGTAAATGCTGTTTCTCTGTAATGATGTCATGAACAGAACCGAAACTCACACCCACCTTTTTGCTGATGTTCTTCATTGTATAGCATCTGTTTGTATGGAAGATCTGGTCAACTTCATCACAAAGTGTCCATGATGACGAGGTGACTGACCAGGTCACGAATCATCTTTCAAAAATGCCCGTCTTTCATGGAAACACTTGTGCCAGTCTTGCACACGAGGCAGTGACAGTGAGTGTTCTCCGTACACTGTTTTTATTTGCCAGTCACAGCACCTTCTACTACTAAAAAATTAATAACATCACTTCTTTAGTTGCAAACATAATACTGATTCTTTAGTTGCAAACATAATACTGATGTGGATAAAATGACAAATAGTTGCCTGCTGGATGACACTCTTGGCTGGCCGCCAGCACATATCACATGGTTAAGCCTGATTACCTAGGACAAATTTATTCTGCAATAAGGGTATTCTTTCTTAGCTCCCGCACTTCCTTTACACACAGTTTTCATGACAGTCATACAAAAATGTCTAATTATGACCACTGTTCTATTTTTCTTTGATCAACACTTGGACATCAGTTATGGACACAGTTTAAAACTGGTTTCAATCTTAGCCAAATTCTTTCTACGAATAAGGTATTCACTACTTGGTGCAACAGTGGGACAAGAGCTTGTGTAATTTTGTTTATTGTATTTGAAAATAAATACTATTTTTTTAATTTTGTGGCTACTGATATATTGAGCTGATAAATAAATGCAACTGATAGCAATAAAAATAGCAATGAATTTGTGGTTTTGCTGCACCTGTCTTGTGGTATCATCTGTTAGTAAAGTTTGGAAGTATGGTGTCAATATCTCAGTATCCTTCAGAGTTGTAAATGACCTTGAGAATCAGATGGAGGTCTGGTGCATAGAATTTAGATCTATTTCATGGTCAAAGTACTGATCAGTCATCAAGCTGCTGCTCAGACCCCCAGGCAGCACTTTTTATGCAGTATTAGAGAACATGACTAACTGTTATGATTAAGCCCAGGTTGTGAGCACAGTTAAGAACCCTGTTGATTGTTTCAAAGATTAACTGTCACCCAATGCTTGAGCATGCTTAATTGTTTTATTGCATTTTGGGGCATGATATGTATGATTTCATTTTTCCTTTCCTTTGGGTGTCTAAAGCTGTGTATCATCATCCCATCTGTGGCCATCAAAGTGGTAGATTGCTTTTCTGCTGCTGTCTTGTGACACCATCTGTAAATAAGGTTGATAAGTACAGCAGTACAGTTGCCTGAGTGTTCTTGAAGGCGATAAGTAACTTTGGGAGTTAAGTGAGTCTGTAGTTATAGAATGCCTGTATAAATTTTAGTAGTCCCAGTATGTGCCCAGTACATCCCAAGAATTAGATTTTAATAGTATCAAGTCTAAACATTATAGTGGGTTGGTTCAAGGGCACAATTAAAGAATAACTGAAACAGTTTTAGATAAGTGCATGCACAAGTTACTGCTTTGTTGTTTTATTGCTTGCAATGCCATGTAAGCAAAATAGCGACTCCTAAGCATAAAGCGTTTTGTGTCCTGCAGTTTGCTAAGCATGAATTTGTAATTTCAGTTCTGTATGTTTTTCATTTAAAGTTTAACTGTGATCCCCCATATGGCAAAAACCGATGGTATAGGCAATTTGAAATGACTGGATGTGTTTGACTAGGCACGGGATGACCAAAAGTGTTTGTAAAAGGTGTGGACCATGTCTGAGCATCTTACCTTCGTAGTCATAAGAAATCTATTCGAAACCTATTCGGAAATCAAGTCTTGAACTCCAGTTGCCAAAGATGACAGTTTGGAAGGATTTAAGAAAACATTTACTTGAGCATTCATACTGGTTACAGATAGTAAGTGCTTTAAAGCCAAATGCCTGTGGTGTACATTTTAACTGCAAAGTTAAAATGTACACCACACTTTTGCAAGTGTACAACACATCACTTGCAAAAGTGATGTGTTTGAGCAGGAAGACAATTTTCTTGATCATATAGTATTCTGTGATGTATCAACTTTTCATCTGAGTGGGAAGGTATTCCATAATGTTCATACTGGGGGGTTAGAACAGCCTCATGAACTTGTAGACACCAGAGAGATTCCCCAAAATTTAATGTTTTTGTGCTGTGTCCTGGTGTCAAGTGTATGGATCATTTTGTTTCGCTAAAGACTATAAGAAGAGTGGCTTATCTGGATACCTTACAAGAATGGCTCTTTTCCCCAATTAGATGAGGGTGAACTTGTAAACTTTATTTGGCAACAAGATGAAGCCCTTCCCCAATGGAATCTCTCTGTATGAGAATGTCCAAATGTCGAAGTCCCTGATTGTTAGATTGGTTGTAATGGTCGAAACGACAGAGCTCTTTTTTACTAGTTTCCAGGTTCAGCTAATTTAACACCATGCGATTTTTTTCCCTTTCAGGCTTTACAAAAGATCATATCTAAGTCCCACTGCTATCTAATGATTTGCCAGAATTGAGACACAGAACTGAAGAGGCTATTGCTTCCATTACTTCGGACTTACTAACCAGAGTGAAGAAGGAATTGGACTATAGTTTGGATGTGTATCATTTAACTAAAGGTTCACTTATTGAACATTTGTAAGAAAAAATAGGTTAGTTTACCTTCAATTTGATGTATGATTTGTTATAAATAATCTAAATTAAACCATTATAATATACTATTAAAACTGGGACCTTCTTTTATGGTTACCATGTACGTGGAATATTATACTACTGCCAATGGAAAGCGTACTTTTGTATTCACTCCAGTGATAGGATCTGCTTTTTTGATACAGGTACTAATTGGTCGCCAACTGTTGAGCATGTAAGCTGTGTTGCAGGCTATGTGTATTAAACTTGAAATTAAAAACACAATAATAAATTTTAAAATAAATAAATATAAAAAAATCTAAAAGCTTTCAGGTTCCCCAAAGTTTTTTTTTTTTTTTTTTTTTTACAGGAATGGGGAATTCGAAATGGGATTTGAAAATTGATACAAACATTCATTCGACACAAATACCATTAGGCATTGTAACACATTTGCATTGCTACACTACCAACATAATACCAATAAGAAATGTAAAGAAACTTCGTGAATAAAGTATCCATGCTTGAAAATGCACATAATATTAATGTTCATGGAACACTTCGAAATCGTTAAGTTTGTCAATAAAAAATTCATTAAAGTTTTATAAACTATGGAATAGATATTAAAATAGATTCCTGATTTGGGCTTCCAGATGCTCATATTAGAAAAGAGGACTACGTTATTCAAAATCTGATGTCTCTAGGTACCTTTGTTTTTTCACAATGCGAGAAACATGCAAACATTCATGCAGACTCTTCATTATAATTTACCATATTTGTTGCTGTATAAGACGAACTTTTTTATCTTTGAAAATAGGTCTAAAAAGCTGGGTGTGTCTTATATGTTGATACTCAGTTTTTTAATATTCATTTCTGGACATTTTTTCTATTCGGAGTTGTGTGTTTTTTTCTTGTTTCCTTGCGGAGTGTGGGAATATTACAGTTACGTAGAGGTCAGTGAATGTGCATGCGCTGTCATGTACGATCACAACTGAGTTCATTTAAACTTCCCAAGTTTTTCGAATAACTTTTAAGTGTGTGAAATATCTATTGTTCAGTTTTCTTAAATTCGCTGACAAGTTATGGCTCAAAAATAATGTCGGGATTGCTATAATATAGAATATAAGCTACGTGTGAGTGCATATGCTAAAGAACATGGAAACAGGGCTGCAGAGAGGCATTTCAGGTCTCCTCCAACTGAGAAAATGATAAGAACTTGGCTGAATTATAATGCTCAGTAATAAAGTTTTATTCTTTAAAAATGTGTATAAAAAGGGGGATGTGTCTTATAGGACAGTACTCTTATATGGCAGCAAACATGGTAATTTCTTTGAGTATCATACAGGGCTTTTTGGTGGCAACAATTTGAAAAGTAATTCAGACTTTAATAATGAACCAATGCAAAATGCCAAAACAAAATTAATAGCCCTTCTGTACTAAAAATTGGAAATTTTAATTATAGTTTGATAGTGTTTTTTTTGGGGGGGGTGGAATAAAGTTTATTATTATTATTTTCTTATATTAGTAGTACAAATGATAAAGAGAATTTTCTTTTTAATATTTAATATATGCATTGGTATATGATCGGGATTCAGTTAAAAAATTTTCCAGTTTATCTAGTTTAGTAGATACATAACCTCTTTTCAACTAATAAACATTTTATTTTGGTAATGATAAAGTGAATCTTTCAGATATTGTTTTCAAAAACGACACCCTAAATGACACTCAGAAAGAAGCTGTGAAATTTGCTCTTTCTCAGAAAGAAGTTGCTATTCTACATGGACCTCCTGGTACTGGAAAAACAACAACTGTTGTGGAGTGCATTCTTCAAGCAGTCTCTCAAAAATTGAAGGTAAGTTATTTCTTAAGAAAGAAATGTGATTTCTTTGCATTCAGAAATATTGTAGAGATACTCTACAAAGAGGGGAATTTATGAATTTTGCTTAATTAATTACCTTTTGCAGTTTGGAATTGGATGAAAAGTAAAGCTTGTAAACAAACTGATATCATAGTCTGTCAGAATTTACATGATGTATTTAAAAAATTTTTCAGATTATTAATATGTCACTCTATTTCTGAGAGCAGTTTTGAAAAAGTTGTTTCTTAGTAAACATGTTCTAAATTAAATGAATTACATATTTCACAGTTATGCAACTTAATAAGCAAAAGCTAACTATTCTGTTACATCTATTTAAAGAGTAAGATAAAAATTTTCCTACTTAAAAGGAGAACTATCAATTTAACCACAGAGTTTTTTTAACATGATTAATATGGGCTTTTCCCCCTCTACCACATTTGTTGAGTGTCTTGTTTATATGAATAAATAATTTGTTGAACACCTTTTTGCATCTGAGACAAATTTAACACATGTTGTAGTCATAGGTGAAATTTATAATGACTTTTGTGTTAAATGAGCACAAGTGATAATTTATCAAATATATAGCGTCATCAATATTTATTGCAAATTATTTGACCTAGGTAATGGTCTTCAAACTGTATTCCGCAGAAGCCCTGGTTCCACGAGTCAAACCCTGGGGTTCTGTTAGTCAAAATGAAAATTCAAAAAGAAAATTATGAAGCACTCGACTAATTGACTAGTGTTTGTTAACTAAAAAATATGAAGATAGATATAGTTGCCTCTGAAAATGAATCAGAAGGCTTTATGCATGGACTGTCGATATCTGTAACGCAATATCAGCAGTGATATAAGTGAGAGAATAGCTCTGTTGTTTTCAATTGTTCAGTCAATGGGTGTGGGAAAATGTTTCCTGTACAGCTGTAAATATTTTAATTTCTTTTGGAACATTGTAATTAAGTGAAAATGCTTTCTCAATGTATGTAGTAATAAAAAAAAAAAAAAAAAAAAAATTAGTGTCGCAACAGCCCTAGTGGGCTACGGCCTTCAGTGTCTCGAGCAATAAAATATATTACAGTGCAAAGTCCGAAATCCGGACGCCCGTTATCCGGAATGATCTAAAATCCGGACCTCAAAACCACCAACAATGTTTTTCTCATAGGCTTTACGCATCACATTTAATCACCCGCCTCCGCACATAATAAAACATCTGGTGAGCCCCGATTCTTAATTTCACTTTGAGACTAAATAAAATACTTTGTTATTGAATAAACAATTATTTTAATATAAATTTTTATGATCAATAATTAGGCTCCATTGCTACATATCTGCTTTGGCACACATCTTAAACCGAAACATTCCACATAGATACATTGTTGATCTGACGCCAACCTGGCAAATTATTATTTATTATACTTTACTTTCATCACCACATGTTTATCAAAACATGACAACTTGAGTAATGACTCATGTAGCGATGCCCATACAATTTTTTTATGTTAGTAATTGAATAATAAAGGAGTATGGTAACCTTTTATGTTGACATTATGCTTGCCGATGATTACAGATTTAAGTTAAATGCACTGAAAAATGTTGACGAGGAAATATTTACCAAAAATTTCTTTCCATATGCTAAAAATAGATTTTGATGATGATACTCTTAAACCCAAAGATTACATTTAGGGCTATTTGAATTGGAATAACTGATTTGTTATTCACATAAACCCAGAACCAGTGCTGGGGCTCATTTGGATGCAACGAGTCGCAGAATTTAGGACCCACAGAGACTGCATCAGGCGGTAAGATACCTAGCGCCGGCCCTCTATAAGGCTTAAGGAATTTATTTATTCAGAACTCTAATAAGCCTTAAGCATGTGCAAGAAATAGACATAAGTGTAATAAATATATGGTTAGAGCAGACTATAATGTACCCCTTGCATTATGGCGAAGTTGTTGTTTCATTTATCGCCAAGTTGTTGTTTCATTTATGGTAGCCTGAGTAGTTGAATGTTATGGAAAGCCTATTGTGACATAATCAGGGGCATGATTCTGGGAAATTTTGAATCGTGGGATGTTGTGTAAGCGCTTTTGTGGTGTGTGTTGGTTTTATTCTTTAGACGGTAGAATGCTTGAAATTAGTAAGATTAATTTGAAGTTCCTGTACAATTTGGAATGAAAGGGAAGAGCATTAATTGACTGGTGTGTAAATGAAAGTTTACTTAGTAGTTATTATAAGTGTCCTGTATGTAGGAAGGATATACTTCTAGTCGAATGTAAAAACCATTCAGATGAATTTGAATGGGTTTGTAGGATGAAAGGTTCAGATGTGGCGATGCCAATATACGGATTCGAGTTCAGATAATTTTAGGAAGTTTTGTTGAGTAATTTTGTGTGCCACAGACTAAAGATGAAGAAACTTCTAAATAGGGTAAGTGCATATTTGCTTTTTGTTGTGCTTAAATGTATGTTTTTCTTTTTTTTTATGTTATTTTATTGTTTGGTTTAAAATGTAATTTATTGAGACTATGTATTTTTTGTTTGCCTGTATTGTAGAATTGGAGTCGACAGGTACATGGATAAAGGGAGTGTGCAATGCCATTTTTGTGCAATTCGGTGGTTTTTTTTCAAGTGAAAATAGGTCGATGTGTACATGGATACCGAGTTTGTGCAATTCTTTGTCTTGTTATTTTGGCTTTGTGTAGCGGCAATTTTTGGTGCAAAAATCGCCATTATGCGAGCCAAAATAATAAGAATTGCACAAACTCGGTATCCATGTACGACCAAAAATCGCCAAGTTTCACTTAAGAGTATCATAAAATATACTTTTACCAAATATATTTATTATACTTATTATTAAATTTTTAACAGTATGCCTAAACTAATACAATTCAGGCTTAATTGTCTCAGTGCACAATAGAAGCAAGATAAAATTTAATGGAACAACTTGTCGTTAGTCATCAAGCTCATGATGCATAGCCAAATATGTATAGTGAAGGATAGCTAAATTTGATGATGATAGCCGCTAATTTTCATTTATTTCAATATCGCAAAACAAAGGTGAAATTTTCTAGTTAACAGATTTTGTAAAAAAATGTGGAGAAGCGATAATAAATGAAGATGATATAAAAGAGGTTTTCATTGTGATGACAATGCTTCTCAATCATCAGTCAGTTAATGAATGGTGAAATCTGTATTATGGTTTTAGATCCAGAAAACAGAAAAGTTGCTGAAAACGAGAAAATTTCAATTGACAAATTAGTCGGAATTCTCGAAACAACAGTTACAGGACTTCAACAGTGTAACTGAACAAGAGATTATGTCTGTCTACAGAATTAAAGAGAAAGTATTAGCGCAAAAAATGAAGCAACTTAAACAACTTACATTGAAAGAAATGTTTAATAAGGTAAAAATAAATATTAAACTTTCTTTTGTAAATTTTGATACCCTTTAGATCATAAATACTTCATTATTTCAAAAATCACGATTTCATATTTTTAATTTAACTTCTACATGCCATTTTACTAGATTTCAACTGCTGATCTATTATCCGGAAAAATCCCAAATCTGGAATCGCTTAAGTCCGGACGAGTCTGGATTTCGGACTTTGTACTGTATTAACAAATTAAATGCAGGATATGGAATGCGACTGCAGCTAACATCACTGGAACTAGACTTCGGCAGTTTATGTAAAATAATGCATGTACACCCCTATCACTAAATATAATGCAAGGGTATGTGGCATCTGCAGCATATGTACTATTAATAAATAAATTACATTAATTTTATGTTAAACTGTTTTAATAAAAAATGCAATTTTTTCTTTGGCTTTACATAAAGTGCCTATGATATAATCTATTTTAAATATTATTCTAAATTATATTTTCCTGAGAGTGAGATAGAGTTCTTTAAAAAATATCTTATAGTTCTAAGGATTCTCTGAGTTGAGAAAATTTGAAGACCACTGCTCTATGGAAATAGAAATAAAATTATATAAATATATTAAATTTATTATAAACTGCAAGCAAGTGTTATCTCATGTAACATGTGAATGACAAAATTATTTAAATAGAATTTATTATAAATTATGGAAAAGTTGTTTCATATAAAATCTTTCATAATGAAGGCAAACACCTATTTAAGAATGTACAATATTGCTTGCTCATAAACATTGCAAAATTCTTTTGCATCTCCTTAATGCTCCAAGTTTATGAAGTATTGTATGGATCAACACTGGAGTACGATTTTTTGAATTACTGTGTGAACTGATTTTTTAATAGCATCAATTTTATTGTAAAAGTGAAAAGAAACAAAAGGCTGAAAAAGTAAAAAAAAAAAAAAGTTATGTAGATGTTTATTTAATATAAATATAGACATTTATTTTTAAATATCACTGATAATATCCCTTCTCCCATACACACTTCTAATTTGCAGTATGTTTCATATAATTTTTGAGCCAGCCAGTGACGCTTATGCGTCTCATAGTGATTAAATACTCATATTTAATTTGATAGTAGTTATAGTTTCGTACAAATATTCAATACAGTTTGAATGTAGGCATTGGTAATTTTTTTAGTGTTTAGAATATCATGATATATTTTATTGCATTAATTGGAATTAACTTTAGAAATGAAGTTTAAAAAATTAGTAGCTCTTATGGCTCCTGTTTTCTGTATTGTGTATAAATTCTTACACATCACTTATTATATCAAAATGTATGTAATATATCTGCAATACTGAGACAGATTTGGATTTTTTTCTTGTGTTTTTAAAAAACTAAATCTACAAAAAACTATAAAAATATAAACAAAGTAATCAGTAGCTAAAACTTGGCTCCCTAATTTACTCATATTTAAACCTGACAAATAGTTACATTAATGTTCTCAAACTTAACTCTTAGAACTTTTTAGGCGAAATTTTTATCAAGTTTATATCTTCATTGTAAGGGTGAGGGAGGGCTAGAAACAATAGAAATTGTGAATGTATGTGGATGAAAGATAGGCAATAATGATTGTATTCATGAATTTTCAGTATAAAAGTTGCAAGATAAATATTAAAAATGAATAAATTTTTGCCACAATAGGCAAGTAGTATTTTCCTAAATCTTTATTAAATGCTAAATCAAAGTATGACTTTTTTTGTTGTTTATTTTTGCTCCTTTTTGTTTTTTATTTTTCAATTTCTGATTTGTAGGTTCTTGCATGTGCTCCTTCAAATATTGCTGTTGATAATTTAGTGGAGAAATTAGCTCCTTACAAAGTAAAAATGGTTCGGTTGGGTCACCCAGCTCGTTTTCTTACAAGTATTCAGCAGTATTCTTTGGATGCTGTGGTCTCGCAATACGATGGCAGTGATGTGATTGATGATATGCATAAAGAGGTTGACAAACTGAGAGTAAGCATCTTCTGTTTTTATTACTGTTAACTTCTAATCATTCATCAGTTCTGAAGTATGCAACATCTTTCATATACATTTGGCATTATTTGTCAGGAATAAACAGATTGATTTATTAGAATAAAAAGTATCTAAATATTAACTATTACCTGCTGATACACTGTTAGTAAGTACTCTTGGCCTTTTTCGGTGATCAATATCTAATTAATATATTGGCCTTTTTCGGTGATCAAGAGTATCTACAAAGTTTCCGAACAACTTTAGTCTATTGTTGTGAACACCCTGTAACAAATAGGTGATGTTATTATACACATATCAAAGTTTTTCCCCCTAACAATGTTTTGTTTTAATATATGGATAATTTGAGAATCTAGGGATACAAAAATCCTCATGTCACAACAGAGGTGAAGCAGGATGGTTCAATCTGCATGATAAGAATTTAGGAGCACTTTTTCTTTCATGAACAAATAATAACAACTAGAGTTTACCTTTATGCATTGATTAATTACATTTGCCCACAATTAGAGGACTGTCGGTTAGAGATAATTTTTTCAGCAGGATAGCACACCACCAGTCTGGACAGTGTGCGTGCGCACTGTTCTCAACAGAGTACTCCTCTGCAGTTGTATTGGGAGAGATGGCCTTTTTCCATGCCAACCATGTTCGCCTGACATTAACCTTTAGACTTTAATGTTTGAAAGTGTCAAAATTACAGACTTGAAGATCAGAATCAGAAATGTCATGGCAAACACAATCATACTATGGTGGTACAGTGGTACATGGACAGAGCTGGAATATCAGCTTGATATTTTAAGCACAACCAGTGGTGCACATATTAAGGTTGTGTAACTTCTGTCACTTGTCACTAAAGCTTTGAACCTTGCCTGTGAAAGTGCAACAAGTACAAAAGTATAAGTTGTACCTTCCCCAAACAACAAGCTCTGAAAATTGACAGGGACTGTGTGGATACTCTTATATTTTTAATATTAGTGGATTGATGAAGTTTTTTTTTTTTTTTTTAACTTTTGGTAAGTATTATGATTTAGGTCTGTTTTCGCGATTCCTGTTTCCGCGTTTTTAAAAAATCTTCCCGTTTGCGCGAAATCGGGGAGTACAGTCCCCCTCCCAAAGTTCCTCAGGGGATGTCAGAATGAGTCATTAAGAAGAGTTGGGCAGTTCCTTTGTGAATAAGTTAGTCATCGTCTTGACATTGTTAGACTAAAGACGTGTCTTAGTTTAGGCTGCTCTTGAAATCTTTAGTTTCATTCCACTTTAAAATATTTAGTATTAGCTGTTATTTTTTGTATCTAAATCAGTATGATGGATGTTTTAGAGATTATTGAAACTAAAAGGAAAAAGCCTTTAGCCGTTTACAAAGGTTATCAATATCGAATTCGGAATAGAAATAAGGAAAATGTGGTTTATTGGATTTGCATAAAGGAAAAAACTAAAAGCTGCAAAGGCTCAATTAAGACCAAGGAAGAAGTTATTTTAGAAGAAAAAATTCATTTATGTCAACCTGATACAGCACATTCTTTAGTAAAAAAACAAATATTTGTAGCAAAAATGAGAGCGAAAGAAGAAAATGTTCCACTTTCTCAAATTTACAATGAAGTTGGAAAACTATACAATCAAGGCTTTGACATATTAACCAATATTCCGCAGTTTTCAAGTGTTGAAACAGCTCTACACAAATATACGCAAAGTGCCGAAGGATACGATCAAGGAGCTACATGTATGGAAAATTTAGAAATTCCTAATGAATTATTAGCAATGGATGATAACTTTAGTTTCTTGTTGTTTGAGTATTTAAAAGATAGCCGAATTTTGGTATTTTCAAGTAAGAAGGGAAGGGAAGCAAGGAAAAGCGGCAAAACTTTCTTTATGGATGGAACTTTTAAAAGTTGCTCAAAGCTTTTCTGTCAAATTTATACTATCCATGTTGATATTGGAAGTACCTCTAACAAGATTAATGTTGTTCCTGTGTTGTTTTGCTTACTTCCCGATAAGCGAAAGCAGAACTTATGAGAGATTATTTCGTTTAATTAAAAATCATATTTCTGATTGGGATCCTAAAGAAATTGTGATGGATTTTGAAATTGCAGTTATAATTTCGCTGAAAAATATTTGTCCTTCCTTAAATATAAGAGGTTGCAATTTCCACTTAAATCAGTGTCTGTGGAGAAAGATTCAGACTTGGGACTTGTTAACGAATATAGGCATAATGAAGAAATTAGAACCCATCTCAGAATGTGCGCGTCCCTTGCATACATACCCGCGGAATGTGTCGATGATGGTTGGCTGTGCATACAAGAAAGTTCACCTCGTAATGCAAGATTAGAGGCATTTTATGATTACTTTGTTGAGCAGTGGCTTGAAAATGACGTCGTAACTATACAGATGTGGAATTGCAATGAAAAAATTGCACAGGACAAATAATATTGTTGAAGGATGGCATCATAAATTAAATTCTATTATTAGGAAAATCCATCCTAAAACTCTAGAACTGATAAAATTTTTGAAAACGAAGCTAAAGAAAGTGATTATTTTATAGATTGTCATTATGTAAATTTAGAAGGGAAGACTCTTTTTTGACCACACTTGTTTTGCACAAGTGTGGTCAAAAAAGAGGAAAGAATCCAACGTATTATGCAAGAATTTTACTCATCAGAAAATATAAGAAAGTGCTTATTATCTCTTTCTTATCTACAGAAATTCGATTAAAACACATAAAATTTTTCTCTAAAAATAATTTAATAATAGTTTTTTTTAAAAAAAGGAAAGTGACTAACATCACACAACTTTTAAACACGCCAGTATTTTTATTGCCAGTCCTAAGCCTGGAAAAGTGTGAAGGAAAGTTGAATTTTCTCTGTTATTAAATTGATAATTTTAGTTATAAGGTATTTTCTGCCTCCTTTCCGCATGCCTTCGTGATTAATTGGAAGCATACTCGGGCGTGTATTCGAGAGGGTTCGGTCCAGGACACTGCATATTTTTCACGTTCGAGACTAAAAGGCGGGGAGATAATTCGTCCCCACCAGCATTTAGTGATTGGATCCCCTTCTCCCCTGTCCTTAAAAGAAAGTATATATAAGACATTTTCTCTTTTTTTCATGCCTTCGTTTGCTGCGGGAGTATGGAGAAGTCCGTGTTTGAGACCCGGTGAGAGCATAACAATTTTTCACCTAATAAACGTCACACGTTGTAATCAAATTTATTAAATTTTCTAATCGTAGCATGCATTTTAAGGGATTATCATCTGAGATTTCGAAAGCACGAATTTTAAGGGATTATCAGAATATCGCAATATTTGACGAATACTGAATTCTCTTCACTTTTTAAATATCCATCGTCAGAGTAAACTAAAGTCGTTTGATATTTGCCTTAAAGAAGCTTGCTTGTACTTACTCTTCAGTTACAACTGTTGAACCAGTGTTTCTTCTGAAGTTTTTAATATTGCCACCATACGAATAAATAAATTTAAATTGCGAATCGCATTTACAGTTGGAATTGAAAGTGACTCACAAAGTACAGTTTCTCTCTTAAAAAGAAGCTAGATGAATAGGAGATTTAGAAAAAGAGCATTTTAAAATGAAATAATATCAAATAAGTTGATAATAATTAGCAATGCTCATTATATACAAATACAGATGTGTATATAAAAATAAATGATTTAAAATATACTCTTTAACTATTTATATTTACTGTCAATAATTAATCTAACAAGTGTATATACACATAATTAATTATTTTAAATTAGTATGATAAATATATACAATCACTGCTGAATCGTGCGCTATGCTTCTGGAATTTCTGAATTAAATCTTTGAAACTAACAAATTTACCTTTGACAATTAATAAATTTATCAATGGTTTCTATTAATGTATTTGGATATTCCGATGAATGCAAGTAAAGCAAGTCCATTCAATCGACATTCAGATGCTATATTTCTGAATTATGACTTTGACAATTTACAGCTAGGAAAAAAAAGCTTCTTTTTGGCTAGGACAAAGCTTTCTCAGAAGCTGCCTTGATATTCGAGGTATATTTTCTTCTCATCTGCCTTTCTTTTCGCAACGAATATATATTCTGAGATTTTATTATAATTCACCTTTATGCAGAATTTCGGAAGAATACTGTTTTTACTTTAGGAAACGATTGATCTTTTAGTTCATTGCCAAAATCATCGCAGAGTTTGAACATCTGTTCCCTTTTAAATACAGTACTTCATTTATGCAAAGATATACAAAGACTCAGACTTCTTAAATATCTTTCGATTATTTCTTTTAAAAAATTTTTTTAAATCTAAAAAATTTTTGCTTTCCTACATTTCAGAAGAGGCCAACGCCCAGTCGGCCCCCCATTATGGAACCCCTTTGGAAGGGGGGTAATAAAAATTGATGATTTCGCGCAAACAGGAACGTTTTTCACAACAGCGCAAACAGGAAGACACCAGTATTATTCGGCAGTTTCATTCAAAATCACACCAGGTTATTTATTCTCTACAGATTGTTTCTGCTTCTGTAAGGCAAGTAACTTTTCTCAAACTGCTTTTCAGCCGTTATTTGAATACTTTGTTGAAATAACATGTCTTCCATCATGCATAATTTCAGTGCTTAAAAAATTGGAAATTCTTCAAAATGCTGTATGCCTAAAATAATGGATTGCTTTTGTTGCATTTCTTGGCAAATCTAATAAATACATGATGCAAAACACAGCAAAAATTAACATGACAAATAAATCCTGAGAATTTTCCACAGGAAATTGGATTACTAAAAAAAAAAAAATGCAATGCAGATCTGCGTTTGCTATAAATGGCCTAAAGTTGATATTGAAATAAACGAAGAAGCCATCCCCATCTTCTGTTGGGGGGGGGGGAGAAAGAAAGAAAAGAAAAAAAGAAAGAAAAATAAATCTCATCTTTTTAGGAGAATCTAGAACAATTTCTGGTGTTGTGAGGAGCTTGCAGGAATCAAAGTCAGATGGTATATTTGGCAATATATCCCTTAGTACTAGGTAATACACAAGTACTGAATAAAAGTTTAAATGAAAAGCTATTATTAATGAATCTTTGTATTATTGTTTATTTGCTGTCCTACTGATTTCATTTATATGTTTGAAATATATATTTAGTAGCATTTATGACATGTTTATGATTATTAAAAACTTTTCATTTTTATAATGTGTGACCTTTTTTTTTTTTTTTTTTTTTTTTTTTTTTTTTTTTTTTGTAATTTTTATAAAACCGCAAATGAAAGTTTTAGTTTACAGTCTAACAGCTCAAATAAAATTTACAATTACAAATTGCAAACACTAGAAAATAAAATCATACATTTGAAACAAGCTGTTTAAAATCGAAATACCAGATGGTAGGAGTTGACTTGCATATGGACTTAAAAAATTAAATATTATTCCATCATAAATTGGCTTACTAGTGGCCAAACAATAAAGTCACTGAACTCTTGTAGTTTGGGTTCAATTCTAGGTGAATGGGCTGACTGCATGGCTGTTTCTTTGGTTTTTCTCATGTAAAACATAGATATGAGCCAGTTTTCTTTAGAAAATTCTCCATAAAGGCATTCGTTCCCTTAGCAGATAGTCCTAACATACTTTGATATCAGATAAACCAAATCAATGAAGTTTTTTTTTTTTTTTTTTTGACTTACTCAATATGGTTATTTGAATATAGCAAAGCACACAATAAATATCTGCTTAAAAGGAAGGCATACCTGTGAGGAGGATTTCCTAAAGAAACTGTCATGCATTCATGTTATTAGTAGGGAAAATTACAAAAATCAGTTACGTAGCTAGCATGTGTGCCTGGAGTTGAATGCAGGTTGAACTACCAGCATTCTATGGTTGTAATCACTTGGTCACTGACTTATTCAATAAAGAAAGGATTTATTTATTGACTTGAAAATGTTCGAGCTTATTTAACTCAAATATTTAATTTTTTCAATATGTAGTTATATATTTTTTATACTGGATCTTTTACTCATGAGGTTTGAAAAAAATGTTTCTTACAGGCAACATTTCTGTTTTCCTTGTACATAAAATTTAAATAATGATAACAATACTTTCTCTGAAGTGTTAAAAGAGAAAGAGCGTATAATGTTAACTTGGATATAAAATATTTTGTGTTCAAATTAACACCACACACATAATTTCTTACAAATTATTTTTGTTAGACTTGATTTGATTTGTTCATAAACATTTAGTTTTTCATTTCTTTTCAGGGAAAAATTGGAAAGATAAAAGGATCTGCTGGTAGAAAAGCCTTATGGGCTGAAAACAAATCATTGTTGAAAGAAATTAAAGAAAGAGAGAAATCTATTGTTAAGCAAGTATTAAAAAATGTAGATATAGTGCTTTCTACACTTACTTCAGCATCTGATGATGGTCCTTTAAAACATATAGATAAAGACCATTTTGATATTTGCTTCATTGATGAATGCTCTCAGGCTCTTGAAGCGTCTTGTTGGATCCCCTTGATGATGGTAAAAAGATGTGTCTTGGCTGGAGATCATCATCAGCTGCCACCAACAATAATATCAGAGAAAGCTGCAAAAGAGGGTTTGTCATTGACTTTAATGGAGAGACTTTTAAAACTTCATGGAGATATTATTAAAAAAATGCTTACATTGCAATATCGTATGAACCATATTATAATGCAGTGGCCATCTGATGAGTTGTATGATAGTAAGTTACAGGCTCATGAATCTGTACACTCTCATCTTTTAAGTCATTTACCAGGCATTGAAAGTAATGATGACACAACAGTACCATTGCTGTTAATTGACACTGCAGGTTGTGACCTTTACGAGCTTGAAGCTGAAAATGAGGAATCAAAGGGAAATGAAGGAGAAGCTGATTTGGTTGCTTTGCATGTTGAAAACCTGATAAAAAGTGGACTTTCTCCTACTGATATTGCAGTTATTACACCCTACAACCTTCAAGTAGATCTTATCAAAGCTAGATTTTCAGCAAAATATCCAAAACTAGAAATTAAATCTGTTGATGGTTTTCAAGGGAGAGAAAAGGAAGCTGTTGTATTGTCCTTAGTACGTTCAAATGATGAAGGTGAAGTTGGGTTCTTATCTGAAGATCGGCGTATAAATGTTGCTATAACACGTGCCAAGAGACATCTTGCTGTAATCTGCAATAGCGATACAGTTTCTCATCATAAATTTTTAAAATCGTTTATAAATTACTGTATAGAAAATGGTGAAGTAAGAACAGCTTTCCAACATATTGATGAAATAGGCCAATATTCGATTGCGACTAAACGACCTTCAGAAAAGTCTGAAAAGCTTATTAGCTCTCATAAAACTAATAAAACACATATTAACTCTAATGTAAGGAAGTCGACAGATTCTATAACAGTTTCAATGCTATCAAAGGAAAGTGGTCAACTCCATAAAGAAAATATTGATAGGTAATTATTAGTGTAATACTTGTGATTTTTTTAAAATTTTGTATAAAAATGCTTCAATGTCTAGCTATGTTATTCTTTTAGGTGTCTCTGAAAAAGGCAAGTTTACAAAAAAAAAAAAAAAAAAAAAAAAAAAAAAAGTAGATAACTAGTAATCATATCCAGATTATATAAGGTTGACATATTTGATAATCTTCTTAGATCTTCTTTGATAATCTTGCACCATGCTGGAGAGAATCGCAGCTACTGACCATGTAGATAATCAGGAGAACACACACCCCAGAAAGACATACAGTCTTTACACATTTCTTGGCTTCTACCTTGGGATTGTATAGTATTGAACTTTTTGTATCTTCAGCACTGCACAGCTACAAGGAGAATGCAAATTTCCTAACATTCATCTTATTTGTTGCCACTTTGCTAAAGTTCTATTTTTAAAATTATATAAGATTTAAAAGAATTCAGATATAGAAGTTGACATATTTATTTCAAAGGCCTTTAACATGAAAGTCTATCTGATTATGAAATCCCACCAAACAGGAAAGTTAAAGGTGATGTCAGCAATCATTCTGGCAGAAGTTTAAATGAACAAATGCTTCTTTATTTAGTTAGATAATAAATAGATATAAATTATGGATGTAACATGTAAATGTAAATTTCTTATCATTTTTCATGTTAAATTGCCATTGTTTATCTGTTGCATCAGGGCTGTTTTTAATGCTCACATCCTGTAACTTTAAAAATACTTCACTTGATGCTGCCCCAACTTTTTTTTTTTTTTTTTTTTTTTCAAAATACGAGAAAAAAATAAAACATCCATCTTTACAAAAATTAAATTGGCTTTCTAAAAATTTATTGACTTTACATTAAACCAAACCAAACTTCTTATGATCACTTTGTGATATCATGTTTTCATTCTTGGTGCAAATTGACTATTTGGCACATTTGTATGCATTAATAATATTGCATGCTCTATAATGGTATTACAAATTTCTTATTTATTAAATTTTTCAGGGGAAATTTTTTTAAAATTCTAAAATATTCAATTATTACTTTATGTATTACTTTAATGTTGGGCAATTATTACTTTAATGTTGGGCAGTCAGACTTCTTTTACTGTATATGCAAATAAGGTATAATTAATGTACATTTTAGAAATACTGCTGCAATTAAAGATTAATTAGGTTAATTTTTGTAACATATATAGAGTGCAACAGAAAAATATATGCACATTTCAGGACTTAAGAATAAATTGTTCTTAAGTTATTTTCGAGACCTTAAACATATGTGGAAAGAAGATTACCAGGCAATTTAACATTAAAATATATTTCAGAGCTCCACATTTACAATAAATACTCAGAATGATGAAGTTTAATATCCAGAAATTCTGAGTACAGTCTGAGCTTAAGCAATGTTGATCAAAGTTTGCACTACGATTGCTTCAAAGGTAATTTCAATCTTGTACCCAATATGGCCAGTGTAGCTAGTCTGCTATGGTTCCCCCACATGTAAAATTTTGGAGGAGATAAATCTAGAAAGCTTGGGGGAACTCATTTAGATTGCATGGCATAATGCAATATCTTGGCAAAATATGGTCAGATATCTTGGTGATGTTATAGAAGGCACTAATCTTGTCAGTAATAAAACTTCTGGTTTCCATAGAATGTACAAATACCAGGTAGAATGAATGTCTGAAACATACCTAAATAAGTTTCAGCAATAACAGTAAAGGGGAAAAAACATGGTGATGTAAAATTTAAAATTAGACAAAAGAAAAATGGAAAAAAACGAAAAGAAAAAAACCTTAACTGGACTTAAATAGAACATCCATCTTTACAAAAATTAAATTGGCTTCCTAAAAATTTATTGACTTTACATTAAACCAAACCAAACTTCTTATGATCACTTTGTGATATCATGTTTCTCCATTATTGGTGCAAAATTGGACTATTTGGCAACAATTTGTATGCATTAATAATATTGCATGCTCTATAATGGTATTACAAATTTCTCATTTATTAAATTTTTCAGGGAAAATTTTTTTTTTAAATTCTAAGAAATTCTAAGATTTTGAATAAAATTTTATGAATTTTAGGGCAATCAGACACAGATCCCCTTTCTTCAGAAGTAAAAATAATTTTGCATCAATTTTCAGATAATTTTGCACCATGTTTTGGAAACACTCAATAAACTGCATTCTGTGATCAAAGTTGTCATTTACTTCTTACAATAACCTGGGAATGAAGATTTTCCATTTAACTTCCTTAAGAATGCATCATATACTTATTACATTCTATGACAATACATTTTTCTGACATGCACACCATCTGATCAACTTTTAGGGGGAATGCATAAAATGTTCTACGAGCATTGTCAAAGGAGCAGGACTTGTGTAAGGCCTCTACTCATTATATGCTGTATAATGGAATTTGAATTTATTACTTATTTGAATAAATGCAAAACAGACAGAAGAAGGAATAGTACTATACTCATACCTCCATTGTGGGTGAACCTCCAAAATACTCACAGATTTCCAGTATTATTTCAGTAGCTGCTTTTACTCTGTGAAGGTCAATCATGATCCTGCTATGTTAATTTTGATCAGTGTGAAGTCAAGTAATGCTGCTCATTAAAAAATGTCTTAACTTCATTAATTAAATGTCTCAGTGCTTTGGAACCTTCACCAATATTTTATTCTTGAATGAAGAACATTTTCACCTTAGCAGTCTTGTAAATAAGCAGCGTTGCTGTTATTAAAGTACAAGAAATTCAAAACGTAAACATCAGAAATCTTAAATTTCCCTAATCGTGATAATTTGGGCTGCAATATTAGTGTGAGGAATAACTGGCTCAAATGTTTTTGAGGATTACAGAGATTGGATTATAGCTGTTAATTTGGAAAAGTGTGTGGAAATGATTTAGAAATTTTTCATATTTGCAGTACATATTTTTTTTTCTTTCAACCGAAGAATCTTGACTTTAACAGACTGCAATAACTTACACACTTCTTGGAAAGCCAATCATTTAAGAATTCCATATAAGTAGAAGAGGTACCATAAAATGGCCTCCATGTAGCATAATTTTTTTGTATGCAAAGTTTATGACAGTAGGTTTCACTCTCTTTCATTCTGGGGCAGTTCAAAGGTATCAGACAAGAAAAGACGACAGTCATAGGAACGATGTGCTAAACAGTGATTAATAATTTTGCAGCTCATTTAAGAGTGTCAGGAGCATAACATTTCACATTTGGATGATATAACGTTTTTAGAAATAATTTTCCTAAGCCTGTTTTTAATAACAATATTTGATTTAATATTTATATTCATTTTTATTCATAAAGCAGAACTTGCATATTTCTATTTTGAATATCGTAGTAATTCTTTTACTTCATCATTAGACCTTGATTTAGAAATTAAGATAAATTATTTTATTTGGGTCTATGATGTATCATTATCATAAATATTCTTTTTATTTCATTTCAACTAAACAGCAAAATTTTTGTAAGTAGTGTGTGTCTTAATATCAACTGCCATATAGGTTAAATTAATGTGTTTACCAAAATACATTTCAATTTTTTGTTTTTATTTAAATAAATTTCTAATAAATATGACCTAAATTACTTAATTAACATTCTCACTGGTATGTTTTCTTTTTCTTCTCTTAGAACTGCTGTTGAAAACAAGTTCAGGGATATTATTCAAGATTTCATTAAAAGTGATAAGCAAACATTTTCATTTTCATCATCTCTTTCTGCATTTGAAAGGCGCACAGTTCATGAGGTATAGAATTTAAACAATTTTCTAATTTGTGTATTAACAAAAAATATATTCTAAACAACTCATAAACAACTGCCTATATTTACTATGAATTCAAGTAAATGTATATTTAATAATAATGAAGGTGAATAAAAAGTGCTAGAAAATTTTTAATTTAACTTTGTTCATAAATATATTGCAATCATTTCTCTGGTTATAATGGCATTTTTCAATGTAAAATTCTTCAGTAATGATTACATTCATAGGAAATGGCCCTATGAAAATATTGTAAGTAAATTTATATGAAATATTGATTCCCTATGGACCATAAGTCATTTCTCATCATGGAGATCCTTACCAGGGAATAGACAGATACTTCATCCACCACGGAGAGAGATAAGACCCACATTTAAAGCCAAACCTTATGGAGGAGCCAACCCCGTATCCTTGATTGCAAGCTAGCAGCCCACAAGGCTAGTGCCTCAAGTTTTACTGGTTTCCAAATCATCCTATAATTCCTTAAAGTATTCATTTGTCAAAGCAAGAAATCTAGGCTTTTGGAAGCCCTGAAAGAACACTGTGCCTGAAGTCCCAGACTAGCTGTCAGCCTCTACTAACTACCATACCATTCAAGGTGACTACCATACCATACCATTTTTGAATATGTTTCCGCCTTGTCTTTCGTAACGTAGATGTATAATCTTTGTGCATAATAGTCTAAAGATGTAAAATATTTTGTTTTCAGACAGAACAGAATATTTCCTATGGACGAGGATTTGCATTAAACATCAATGAAAATATTTGCATATGCTCTTCTTAAATAATTTTATTCATAATATTAGTATTTAAAAAGTAAAATGTTTGTAACTTAATTGTGTCAAAAGTTGCAGGTAATATGTTTCAAACATTTACTAAAGATGTTTTATACAAATAAAAAAAGTCTTTAAATAATTACTGTATGTTTTAAATCAGTTTGTAAATTTTTATATTGCAATGGAATCAAATATTTTCATTTAGTCATCATTTTAATATATTTTTTAAAAATTTAGATTTCAGAACAATATGGACTGAGTCATGTAAGTCATGGAGAAGGAAATGATCGTCATATTGAAATTAAAAAACAGCTAGATGTTGCCTCAACAATGAATACATATGCATCAGAAAAAACTGAAATACACTCAGAAAATACAGTAAATACTCTAGAATGTATAAAAACAAATAATGAAAATAATCAAGGTCATTCAAGTGAAAGTTATGAAAATAAATTACCATCGAAAAACAAGGAAGGGAAATTAAAAAAGAAAGAACAAGTGCAAAAAGTTAGTCAGTCATCAAAACTGAAGCTTAAGAGTCCAAAACTACAAGAAAATAAAACTTCTGAGGATAATTTTGATGAACTTATTGAACAAGTAATGAAAGCTGATAAAACTTGCTGTTTTGAAAACTGTAAAAAGTGTATTGCTACTTTATCTCAAGTCTGTCAATTCTGTAGAGGTCGGTTCTGTTTGAATCATTTCATTCCAGAGGTTCATGGATGTGGTGATGCTGCAAAGGCATTTGCACGAAGTCAGATTCGTAAAGACGGTGTACTTTATCCTGGAAGTGGGAAACCACAGAAGAAGGTAGATCCTATAAAACGTTCACATCTACAAAATAAATTGGATAAAAAACTCAATGAATTATCATTGCAACGAAAACCCAAACCCAAACCAAAACCAAAAGATTAAAGTAAGAAGAAAAATTTTAATTCTTTATAATGTGAATATTTATGTATATATTATTTCAATACTTATTGGTGGAATTAAAGACCTCTGAATGTTTGTTTGTACTTATGCTGTTTTGTATTTAATTTTTAATTTAAAGTTTCAATTAATAATTTTCTGTAGAAATTCTTACATATTTTGGCATATTAGTGGCTAAAGAGATAAAATCACAAGACTTTGGTGGTTTCTTCTTATAAACTGTTCTGAGCAACCTAAACCTATTGGGTAGATGTTTTCATTATTCTTCTTTAAAAAAATACATATATGATTGCCTCTAAATTCTATATTAAGTATGTCTTAAAACAGACAGCTATTATATCAGTCAATCAAATTACTGCAATTCCATTTTCTGAAAGACCCAACCAGTGGCCAAACAGTAAAGTCACTGAACACTGGTAGTTCAGTCTGAGGTTCAAATCCTGTGAACGGTCTGGCTGCATGGACATTTTTTGTGGTTTTCCCCATGTGTAACATATATACGAGCCAGTGTGCCTTAGAAAGTTCTCCCTTTAGGCAGATAACCCTCGAGGTTTTGCTATAATCACATGAAGAAAACCTGGTGTACAAAAAGGTAAACCTATATCCTTAGTGATGTTGTGTTTTCATAACATTTAGCAGTACAAAGAGAAAAGAGAAGCACATTAATATCAAAATTAGGCAAACATTAATTTTGAGCTACTGGTTTAGAAAAAGAAAAACTATCATAGATTTTGAAGCAGACTGGCATGGAATCCGTGTTCTTTAAGAAGCAAAAACCAGAGTTTTTTTTTTCCTTGACCAGAGTAAGGTTGACTTCTGGCTGATTTTATATTATGAAATATTCATTATTATAGCTGATTAGATTTGTTTTACAGATTGTATATTACAGTTCACTGTATGTTTACAAACATCTCAGGTCATTTTTGAATAACAGGAGTATTTAAAACTTTGAAGTCAATCAGTTTTTGCTTATAGAACTTATTTTAAATATTTTTCACAGATGGTAGGACATGTAAACTGTGAAAATAAAATGGGACAGTTCTATATCTCGTGTTCTACTGGGCCGATTGACGAAATTCAACTTGCGTTTTTCATGTCTCAAAAGCACGACTAAATATATATGTTAGATTTATATATAGTATTATTCTAACATAGGTATTTTGACACAAAATTGGACCTTTTTCTGAAAATCACATGCCAGTTTGTTTCCATATTTCGATTCTACGACTCAAGTTATGCCAAACTGCCAAGGTTTGTAAAAATCGCATGAGTAGTTTTTAAAAAATTAACTCTCAAAGTTTTAGCTCCTCAATGTTAATTGAATCGGATATATATTTAGTAATATATCTTTTTTTTATTAAGCTTACTCGATTCATTCTTCCAGAATTCGAAATTTAGGCTTAATCCAAATATAATTTGCTCTTTTTTTACGACTTATTTTTAAAATTTGTATTTTTAAATGTTTTTTATAAATTTTTCGAAATTTTTTTTTTTTTAAATTATAACCTATGAAATTTTTAACATCCTCTTAAAGTAGATGTGTTTCTAGCCGCACCTGCAAAAAATTAGAGTTTTCTATTTAAAATTTTCTAAGATATACATGAAATTATATATTGGTGCATTTTGAAATTTGGCATCTTTTTTTGAGCGATAATAACTCCAAATGGGGTTTACACACTTTGTTAAAATTATTTGAAAGTATGAAAGATGATTTTTTTTCTGCTCATCTGCGATGCAAAACAGGAAAGGAAAATTAGGTTGCTATAATTTAAGAATTTCACCATGTAAATTATTCTTGGTGCAAACTGAAAAAATACGCCAAGATAAATTTTTGAATTTTTTCATAAATTTCATACCAGATTTTACAAAATTTAATATTTATGCATAATTTGAGTCGTAGAATCAAAATATGGAACAAAAATTGGCTTGACATTTCAAAAAAAGTCTGATTTTGTGTCAAAATACCTATTTTAGAATAATGCTATGTATAAATCTAATATATATCCTGAGTCGCGCCTTCAAGACATGAAAAACGCAATTTGAATTTCGTCAATAGGCCCAATTTAATGAGAGATGTAGAACTGTCCCCCCCTTTTTTTTCATAGTGTACACTCTTAAAAAATAATCTTTTGCTAGACTACTTGCTCTAAAGATAAAAATCATAAGCGGCTAAATCAGGTGAATATGTAGAATATAGAAAAACCTTTTATTGGTGGGGAACTATATATTATTTCATAGTTTCAATTCGTTAAATATAATCACAGCTAATCCTCAATTATTATTATTTTTTATTTTCTCAGTCTGTCAGAATTAAGCAGCTTTTAAAATACTGAAGTGTATTTATATTTTTAATTTATAACTTATTACATTTTACAATAATTTTATATATAATGTTATAAACTATTCAAATATGCTGCCCAGACAGTATAGGGCCCAGGTTCGAATCCTGGAGATGGCATGGTTGTAACTGTCCGTTCCTTCATAGGAGGCAGAGGTGGCTCACCTGTTAGAGCCTCCATAATAAAGTGACCACCACTTCTGGCCTTGGTTGTGGCCAAGCTGAAGTCGGGTGAGGGCCCACCATTGGTTAAAAAAAATAATAAAAAACTATTCAAATATCTCTAGTAGCTTTGTTAACCTTTCAGTAAGCATGCTAAACTCAAACATATGATGTTTCACTGAAATAGCAACCAGTATTTTAGAACATTAAAAAAGATTCCTGAAAATTAATGTATAAATAGATAGAACTTTCCTAGTATTATATTGTGTTTAATATATTAACGAATTTAAGAGAATGATCTTAATACAAGTACAGTGTAAAAACACAAAATTAAGACTAAACAAAACTGGAAGTATTCCATATTCAGAAACAGAATTTTTTTTTAAAATTAAACTTTTGATTTAGAATGATAAATTTTACTTTCAAAACAAGAATAGTATGCAGTTACATATATATATATATATATATATATATATACATATACCTACACAGTCTGTAGCATTTTATAGAACGATTATAACTATGCACGGTAAAGGCATACTTCACAAATATTTTTGTACCTAAAGATGTAAATATTTCATATTCATTTTCTGACTATAATATGTTATTCACATTAAAAAAACATTTTCTTATTGGGTTCTTCATATTACAAACTCTATATTTGTCTTTGTTACAAGCTTTCATCAATAATATTCTTTTATCTTTCTTATCAAATGGACATATATACTATACCAAAGTGGTGTTTCTGTATATAATGATTACTTATCTAATAACTATCTTAATTTTTTCTTTTCACTGTTTCATTCTGATCTCTTATAAAAATTATTTAGGCTTTAACTCTAGCAGTGCCGAGAATAGCAAATAAAATAATCGTTGGTCATTTTGTTTTTGTCTTTGCATCGATGTAATTCAGAGGTTATCAACAGTATATCAACACATTCTTCAATTTTATTGTAGCTTGGTGTTATCTGCGATTTTCTACCTTCTCTCATAGATAGATCTATTTCACCATATGTATACAAATGCTGAAATTAAAATTCTTTTCTTAAAGTTTAGATATGTGACATACAAGATTCGGTTTTTACTCTAAATTCAAATAGACCAAATTTTATATTGTGCCTGCATTTTGAATGCCTACAAATTTGAAATTTGTTTGTTCTGACCAGGTAAGGTATTATGAATACACAAATCCAGTTATACATAAGTATATTAAAACCCAGTATTATGTATAAAAAATGAGGCTTGTTACAAAATCTGAAGGTTGGTTGCTCAGAATAAATGGAAAATCAGATACTTTTAAATACATATCTTCATAGGAACATTACCATATCATTTGGCCAAATATTTATTTTCCATATTTTTCCCTTTATTTTCTAACAGAATTCACACATTAATTTTTTTTTTTTTTTTTTTTAAATCATCAATAGACATTTATCCCTTACACTTCATTATAGTAGTTTCTTTTGATGTTAAATCACTGTTTACTAATGTTGCATTCGAAGGAGCACTTAAGTGTCTTGAAACTAGGCTTCAAGAATTCCATTTCACATGTACTGATATTGAAGAATTGATATCTCTTATTAAAGTTTCTCTGAATCAAGCACAGTTTGTTTTCCAAAATAATTATTATCGCCAAATTGAAGGATTAGTTATGGCTAATTTCTTCAGTTACGTACTTGCTGCCATTCACATGCACTATGTTGAGGTCAAAATATTTGAGAAAATATCCTTTTGTCTCTGGATTCACTACGTGAACAACACTTTTTAATGATAACCAAGATGATTTATCCCAGACTTTATCTATTATAAATTCGATTGATCCAGCCATTCAGTTCACTTTTGAAACTGAATTTGACAATACCCTTCCCTTCCTTGGTATTCTCATTATCCACAACGAATCTGTTTTCAGAACTTCTGTATATCACAAACCTTTTTCTGTTTGTTTGCCTCCCCACGCAAAGTCACATTATCTGGTTGAGCAAAAAATGGCTTCTTTGTAATGTTATGTAATTCAGATTCTCAAAGTTTATTCCTCAGACTCTTTGCTTGCTAATGAACTGAATTATTTTAGATAAATTGCCAATGACCAAGGATTTTCTCCCATGATCATTGATAAAGGCCTTTAAAAATTTTCATTTTGCCATAAAGACGACATTTTTCTGTTAGAAATAGTGTTAATAACCTTGTCCTGCTTCCATTCTATGCTTATAGTGGTGTTTATATATGTTACAAAATTGCACGGATTCTCCAGAAGTTTAATTTTTTAAGTCCTTTTTTCTCCTATCAATCTATGGTTCAATTCTTAAAGATTCCATTTTTGACTTTGAATTTTTGGGGAATATATAGCATATCTAGTCAGTGTAGTTCAGATATATCAGCCAAACTAAAAGAGCCTTAAAGTTTTGAAAAGTCAAAATTAACAAGTCTCCGATAGTTAATCATAGTTGGAAATTTAAATATAATTTTGGCTTTGGGTCTGCAAAAATGATCCAAAAAGCTTCTTCTGTGATGAATTGGATTTTCTTGAAACTTTTCACATTCACAAAGATTTATGCTGTTTAGTTAATAATTTCACATTCCAATCCAGTACTTCCTAATGCTTTTAAAATTATATTAATTTAGTTTTTCAATTTTCATTACTATTTATGCTGACATATACTGTGCTACCTTCTCATTTGCTTTATTCCTTTCAGGTATAAATGCAACTGTGGCTTCCCTTTCATTGCTGCTGATGAAGTGGAATTTGTATTTGCTCTTGAAATCGATTGTCTTGAGTAAAATCTATGCTAAACAGACAGTTGTTCCTTTGCCAAATTTTATGTTTTACTTTGGCATGTTTCTCTTCAATCTTGATATATCTTCCATGTTTGGCGATATCATAAATTTGAATCCACCATTATGTACATTTAGCATATTTTCAGGGTTCACTGTTATTTGCTGTTTGATTAGGAGAATAAATTAACTTTGTTATGTAAATTAGCGATTTAAAATAAACTGGCTTCAAAATAGAAAGAACAATGAGTAGAACCTCATCTTTTTGGGAAGCATGCACAGAGTTGAGACTCTTAAAGAACTATGCAAATTGTTATACGTGTCTTGTTAATCAAACATAAATGTAAGAAGGGTGCAAAAGATACTTTTATTAAAAACTCAAATAATTAAACAGAAAGCACTTCTTGTGCTTACAAATTCAGCCAGCATTTATGACATAACTCAAAAGTAAGAAAATTCAGTTTAACTAAAATCTAAAGTTAGCCCACAGAAAAGATTAATGCACAAGTTCGCTCAAATCTATACTGATGAGACAAGCATCAGAATAAAGCAACACCAAGGAAAGACTGCTGTCGAAGAGCTGCAACTAATAATGTGGCCTTGAGCAGGCAAAACATGCTTTGATTAAACAATCTAAAATCTTCCTTTGGATACTATCTCTTTCTACCTTATCTAAATACACACAAATTAAAATTTACATTCTGGCAGGAAATTGGAAAGGGAGAATGTCAGTAAAGATACTTAAAATAACTGGTTAGATTAATAAATACTTTACAAATGTTTTTATTTATATTAATCTTACATTTTGGTGAGTTTATGAAAAAGGAAAATTAATGGCTGTATAATTATTTTATTTTTATGATTTACCAAATGATATATATGTGGAGCAATTCATAACGACAGCGATGAGGCTGTGCAACTCCCCCCTCACACCCGCTAACTGTGATTGAACTTTATCCAAAAAACAAGGAGAAACATTCTCTCCTTGTATGACTCACTTCTCACGTTATGCAATGGACAGTAAACAACGCTTGTAATCATCTCTAGATATTTTTTTCTTCATATACCTAATAAATATGTTATTTTGTGTTTGCTAATACAATGATCGTGTTCCTTACCTCTGCAGCTTGGATTACACTTTATTAAGGTAAGAACTTTAATTCTGTTTTATTCATCTGCTCGTCTCGATTTAGCGAAGTTGTAACAGTAAACAGAAATGAACCACGAATACCTTCAACAAAAGATTATGAGACCTGAAAATATGTTTACTTCAACTAAACGCATAAAATATATCGAGATAAGCCATTAAGAATAAAAAATACAAACAGAAAAGATACTTTGCCATAAATTATCGCTGGATAATCCGAAAAAGGAAAAGCCAAGCCTTGTCTTCAAAAGCAAAACAAAACTGCATAGTTGTGTACTGCGCATTCGAAATACAGAAGCAGAAATGGCTACTAGCTGCGAAAATAAATATTCGATCATGAAACTAAACAATAACAACTATCAAGTATGGAAATACAAACTTGAAATGATCCTGAAAAAGGAAAATTTATGGGATTTAATCGTAGATGACACACCAAAAGAAATAAACGTCGAATGGACAAAACGAGATGAACAAGCACAAGCTACCATTAGTTTACTCGTAGAAGACAACCAAATCGTACACATAAGAAATAAAACAGGCAACCAGAAACTGGAATCACAAGATAGCTGAAATCCTGCGCAAACAAGGATACGTTCAAGGAAAGGCTGATCCATGTTCCTTCACACTAATCGAGAAAAACGCAAGAACTTACATAATCGTTTACGTTGATGACATATTAGTCACGAGCGACAAGTGTGAATCAATTCAAGAAGTTGAACGAATTCTCAAAGAATATTTCGACATTCAAAATCTTGGAGAAGTGTCTACATATCTAGGAATTGAAATCGAAAGAGAAAAAGACGGAAGCTTTAAACTTCATCAAGCTAACAAGATTAATAGTATGATCGAAAAATTCGACGGAGAGTCACCAAAGAAACTAAGCTATACACCCATGATACTACGAATTTTACGAAGAACCAAAACAACCAGGATGACATTTTTCCCGATAATCGGAAGTATAGGGAAGCAGTGGGAGCACTTTTATATTTAGCAACAGTATCAAGACCTGACATAGCAAATTCTGTTGGAATACTTAGCAGAAAAGTAGAAAATCCATCAAACATCGGACTGGAACGGTATCATTAAAATCATACGATATTTGAGAGCTACAATTAATTACAAATTACATCTAAAATCCAATGGTGCACCAGTCATCAAAGCTTACAGTGATGCTGATTGGGCAGGAGATACCTCTGACAGAAAATCCACATCCGGATATATATTTCAAATAGGAAACAGTACGGTATCATGGGGAAGCAAGAAACAAAATTGTGTCGCCCTATCTTCGACAGAAGCCGAATACATCGCTCTAGCCTTAACATTGCAGGAGCTACAATGGATTAGACAACTGATGGGAGATTTAGGTTTCGCTCAACAGGAAGCTAACATCGTATTCGAGGACAATATATCATGCATAAATCTTTCCCGAAAAGAGAAAGGAAGCAGCTACACCAAACACATCGATGTGAAATATCATTACGTATGTGATCTACAAAATCAAGGGATTGTTAAATTAATACACTGCAACAGTAAAATGATGTATGCAGACATGTTCACAAAACCTTTGCCCAGACAACAGCTGGAGTTTTTATTAAAAGGAATCGGGCTTACTGTGGACAGAACAGCTCATCGAGTGGGAGATTGTGGAGCAATTCATAACGACAGCGATGAGGCTGTGCAACTCCCCCCTCACACCCGCTAACTGTGATTGGACTTGATCCAAAAAACAAGGAGAAACATTCTCTCCTTGTATGACTCACTTCTCGCGTTATGCAATGGACAGCAAACAACGCTTGTAATCATCTCTAGATATTTTTTTTCTTCATATACCTAATAAATATGTTATTTTGTGTTTGCTAATACAATGATCGTGTTCCTTACCTCTGCAGCTTGGATTACACTTTATTAAGGTAAGAACTTTAATTCTGTTTTATTCATCTGCTCGTCTCGATTTAGCGAAGTTGTAACAGTAAACAGAAATGAACCACGAATACCTTCAACAATATAATGGTTGATTAATGTATCTATATATTCCAAATTACAAGCAGTTAAATTATATACTGTGGTGGTTAAAAACTGGACTGGGACTAGATACTGGGACCTTATCTGCTATCACTGCTGTTATCCCATATATTTTGTTTTCCTTTTTGAATTTCCTCTAGAAATTATTCTTTATTCTAATGATTTGTGATAATAATTTAATAAGCGTACAACCTTTTTTTAGAAAATGTTAATCTAGAGTGAAATTGGGAGTTTTCACTATACTAGCAACTTCCACAGTTCTTTTAAATACCTGCTTAATATAAGAAACTTGATAAGAACATTGATTTTAATTATAAACATTGCATGAGTGTTCTTTGAAATGCATAGTTTTTATTTTTATTTCATCTGAGCCAGAACAGAATGGTAATTCCTGGCTTTTATTGAAGTATTATCTTTTTCTGAAGTTAATTACACATGGGAAATTATTAATATACTTTTTTACATCTTTAAATTATTCAGCAAGTCATCTCCTTTGCTGACAAGAATTAACTATTTTAACTCTTTTTTTTTTTTTTTTTTTTTTCCAGAATAGTTGTCTAATTTTCTGAAACTGATCATCAAAATTGTACTATACTCATCTCTTTCAAAGTCGTATGTTTTAAATATAACTCACCTTGGCTATTTCTTCTATACAGTCAATTCCACCAGAATCATTTTGATCACTTAAGCTCTTATCTTCATTGCTATTATTAAAAGCATTTGCAGTACTATAACAAATATTAATTAAATAAGAATAATATTTAAAATAAATCATTATAAATTCTACACAGGAAGGTTCTGGAAGTTAGCATAAGTTAGTAGTAGAACCACTCTGAACGTGAAAATCATCATTAGTTTCATCTGCTTTATTTATCTTCTAGATTGGTACTGTAAGCAAAATTTGAGTCAAGGATATCTTCACAGAGGCAAAAAAGGCAGTATCAGCAGCCTACTGAGTTGAATGAGGCTGTGTAATCTTCTTCCGCATATAACTTTAACATGTGATCTTGAAGCATTAATCGAATAAATATGCTACTTACATAAATATTTTGCCTACACTTCATTTCTTTACACTAAAAAATAATGATTTGAAGGAAGGAAATTAAAAACCATTATATTAATAAAAAGTGAGTTTACGACAAAATGTTCATAATTCTTTGGGGGAGGGGAATGTTATAACTTAAATGCTAGTAGACACATTATATCTCTATCTATTATAGAAGGAGAAAACACTTTTACCTTACTGTCACCTATTTTTTTCCTACTATGAAAAACACTCAAAATACCAGACACACACATATATGGGATTGAATGCTCTTGCCCCAAATACACAAAAGCATCTCACAAATAATTATGTTGAGCTAAGGACTGATAACTGTTTTGGCAGCTGAGATAGAAATGCATTTTTGTGGCTGGTCAATCTAGCCAAAAGAAATATATAAATATAAAAATAAAATATATTTAAAATATATATATATCATATATCTAAATATATTAGAAATTATTAGGAAACTGTTATCTCAATCTTTTAAGCAGTATGCATCAGAGAATGTTTCTGCACTTACATAAAATTTTAAAAAATCAGCCCTCTTTAATAATGGTTTTACAAAAAAATTCTTTTAATTTACAGGGAGATTAGCATGGCAAGCAAATGTACACACAGAATATTTTTAATTTTCAAAGAAATTGGGCCCAGTGCTTGGCCCATTCAAAACTGAGAGTTTTCCTAGATAATATCAATTAAGGTTGATTTTTTATTAGATATTAGCATGCTTTTTCTCATATCTTCTTTATTTATAAATTTTTTCACACATTCTTGACAAAAATGAAACATTGTACACTTTTATATACAATCAAAAAAAGATATGTGTTAAAACAGTTTTTCACAAAATGAACATTTTATTCAGTACATATTACAAATATCAAAAGTCACATTTTCAATCCCAAGTGGCCTGTCAGCATGAGCTTGCTGTATTATTTGAACTGCTTGAATGTATTATACTGTGCTAATTAATTGGGACAAAGTGATTTTTTATGATTTATTTATGTTTTCATATATAGCGATAATAAAATTAATAAGAAATATGTTTCCCTTTAGCAAAAATGACCTCCAGAATGCACTTAGGCATAGACTCTTACTCATCTTGTGCACATTTTTACTTCATCATGTAACCACACATTTTTAGTGTTCTTAGATTAGCACTTTTAGCTTTTTTGTTGTACAATCCATTTTGCTAAGATGTTCCCTGAGGATGTGACACAAGTTCTCGATTGGAGTTGAATCTACTGAATTTCAAAGCCACCTCTAGGACAATAATTTTATTTTCTGGTGTGAACCCTTCGGCAGATCTTGAAATGTGACAAGCCAAGTCATGTTGAAATGTCCCTGCAAAGGTTTTCAAAAATGGCACAATCCTACCTTTTAAAATTTCTAGTCTCTGATGAATTCATAATTCTGTCAATAAGAACTAGTCTTAAATTGTTATCTGCGATGAAAAACCCAAAGCGTTTGTTTTTGAGGGTATTTTATAGTTTGTTGTATATGCTGAGGTCTTATTTATTTGCCCTTACTTTGTCTAACAATGTTAGATGGGTAACTGTGAAAAAATAAATGAGGGTCATCGATTAAAATTACCTTTTTCCAGTCATTTGTGATCCAAGATTTGTATTTTTTGGGCCTAGAATAATAGCTTTTCTTCATTTGACATGCTAAAAATCATTTTTTAATATCTTTTTTTGCCTTTCGACCAGCAACGAGTGTGCATCGTACAGAATGAATATCAATACCATTAGACAACAGATAAGATCTTTGATTTTATTATTATTATTATTACTGGATTAACAATGCTACTTTGGAGTAGGAATCAATTGGATTTTGAAGCTGTTTTCCTTTTCCTTCAACAATCACTTCACTTTTGATCACAAGCACAATTTCCTTCACTTTTGATGAAAATGATCCAGTTTCATTGAATCTCCTCAGAATTCATGAAACACTCGACTTTCCAACACCAACGGCGGAAGTCTGCAATATTTCTTACAGTCATGAATGTGTAACTATAAAGTGCGATAATCTTTCCTGTGTACAGGAGTTATATCCATTTTTAGTACCAAAAAATGAATGAATGCAAAAAGTATGCAAAAGTAACTTCCTCTTCGCACAGGAACAAGCCTAATAATCCTAATTCATTGTCTAAACCAGTTCTAGTAGTCAAAAGCTGAAATCCAGATGGAGGTGATTCTGGAGGTAAATTTGCTTAGAGGGACCTGCTGGCAACTTAAAATTCTGTGAAAAATTCTCTCTGTCCAAATTAATTAGAACGCTATAGTATTTCATAACACAAATTTGTATAAAATCCAAACAGTATAATCATAAATCACTACTATAATAAAACGGAGAATTTGTGAGTATGTGATTCATTACACGGCACACACACAGATAAACCCAAAGCTAAGAAATTTGGTGCTCATATTGTAGGGATAGTAAAAGTTCACTTAGATTTTTTTAATGAATTTTTGCACATATCACCACTTTATGAATGAGCAAATAATTTTAGAATTTCACTATTTGCACACACATAGAAAAAAAAAAAAAAAAAATTAAATAAATTTGCTCTGAATAGTTAACATAATAAACCAAATTTTGGTGATTTTTTCAATAATTACATCTTTATTAGATTTAAATGCTCATATCTTAAACTGCAAGTTTCATACTGTCTGAAAAATATTAAGTACGCAATTTCTTGTAATTTTTTAATAATATGTTGGAATACAAATCTTAAACAGAAAAAATTTCCATTCTTCATCACCTCGGTTGGTCATCCCACAATCACAGAAATCCAGTCAAAAAATTTTGATTGAAATAAATTGCAGTGATGTGATGTCATTTATATTACATTTCTTCCTCCATTTCCATCACATTAATTTTTTTCCCTCTTAAAATTGATTTTATTCATTGTATCTCCTTGCATATTCCCCCCTTTTATTAACTAATTTTAACATCTGAAAATTGACAGGAGAATTATGTGAGTAATTTAACTCCTGAAGAATGCGGTTAAATGAAAACTAATTATAGATAAACTATTAATAACTATCATGGTATTATTTCTTTAAAAGAAACCTGCATTCCAATAAGAATACATAGTAATATTAACATTGCAGTACCTGATGGAAACTGATCCAAATATGTTGTGCTGAAACGTAAATAATAGAAGCAAAGTTAAGAAAACACTTGCCACATCAGTTTAATAAAAAACCTGCACAAAATACATTTCAAATAATAAATGCAAGGGAAAATAAAATGCACATATGCTAAACCAAAATATGATTTTTCATTAAATAAATTTGATTGTGCTTATTTCATTTCTAGTCAATACACTATAACATATTTTTTAAATTTCTTGCAGAGGTTCCTGTTAAATAGAATATTTGTAACCTGACATAATGACTTGATTTGATGAGTTCTGTGTCAGAAAAATAACTCATTAGAAGCCAAATGAATTTTTTTCATTGTTCTATGGATGAAATTTCTTGGGTATACAGTAAAAGTGTGACTATCTGGCATTCATCTAACAACAAAACTCCAGCAACCAGAATATTTTAGAATTTTAAAAACTCCCCCCTCCCAAAAGTAAGCAAATAAAACTTGCAAAAAAATCATAAAATCTTTGCCATCATTTAATGCAAACCTGATTAATTTTTCATAAACCAGTTTAGCTTTTGTGAAGGATATAAGTTAACTGTTATTTATTTGCTTCTTTCCTCACATTCCTAAAAGGAAAAAAGATAATTAAAATTTGGGACTTGCTTTCTACCAAACATTTAAAACTATAAGTGTTTTAAAAACTGTGGGATTCTCATTAAAAAAAAGTATACATTAATGGGCATGACATGTGACTTTATTTGAAAACAGATAAACAATGCAGATGCAGCATGAAAAATTAGGATAAGTGACTTAAGTTTTTATATGCTGTACCTCCATAACTTGTATCTGTCAGTTATCTAATCTCTACATATAATAAAAGTAAGAGTCTATGTGTCTTTTATTCATGCTGCACGTAAGCTAATAGACCCAGGGCTAGTGCATCTAAACAAGAACCAGTGCACCTCAAAGCGATTTTTTTAAAATTCGAATGAGTTTTTTTAAATTTTATGTTTTTTGATGAAATTGTGTCAAATTAATAATTCTCTCTCATTATAACAGTAACAATGACACACAGCCATTGTTGCTGATATCAGTACTGTTGCCACTCCGAAAAATGAGGGCGAAAATAAGCATTTTTAATTAATATCTGATTTTTAGCTACTTTTTTTTTTGGAAAAAAAAGTGGACGTCGACCTTTTTCAGAACCCAGAAAAGAATTGTACAAAGTTTGGTGATGATAGCTATAGTAGTAACTGAGTTATTAGCAAACAAACACACATACTTATTAACGTCAAAACAAATGAACTTCGAAACATTAACTTCCATTATACCATTTGAACTCTTGAAATTTTGGAATGGGAAGTTGATTAATTTATTTATTAGGTTAATTAATGTTTGTATTAAGGGATATTGCTTATTTCATTATAACTGTTTTTTTATATATAATACATTTTTATTGAAATTTGTGTTTTTTCTTTTTTAATAAAGTTGTTCTGCAGGGTGAAATTCTGTGCAGTTTTTAAATTTAATGTTTGATGTTCCCTTTACATTTTTCTGATACATATTTAAAAGCAAGACAAAGGATGGCCACATTGCGGCTACTTAAATAAACAATGATCTTTTCCTTAAACTTCTGTGACAGAATGATTGTGGAAGTTTGGTGATATCTCCACAAACTTTTTTAACAAATGGGATTTCCCTGTAAGTTTTGTATGTTTAAACCCTATGAAACATGTTGGCTTTTATGTCTGAAATAGATTTTTTGAAAAAAAAATTAGTATAATTTTAAATGCAGGCTTTTGACATTCAAGTTAATAATAGTAATAATAATAAAATGAGAGTTATTATAATTTTAGACTACAAATTTCTCTCATTCATTTGGCCCTTCTGCCATGAATTATTTTTATATGCTCAACTGCATGCAGTTTTCACATATTCAGCATTTCCCAATAATCAAGCTTTTAATGTAATATAAATTCCAGGATTATCATGACAAATCTCTGACATTCAACTTTAAAAGTGTTACTGGAAAATATTTTCATTTCCACCACTTCTCAAAAATTCAACTTGCATGATTTTTGTTATATTTATTAATTATTATAGGCCTCCAGATTTTTTTTAATTGCCACATATTTTTATAAAACTAAGGCAAATATTAAATAGAAGCAATTATAAGAATATGCAATGGCCATTAAAATTTCATTAACCAAAATACATGGTTTAAAAACATTTTCCAGAAATAGATGACAATTAAAAGCAAAGATCTATTTAAGATAAAACAATGAATTTATACATTTTCATTTTTCTTTGCATTTAACATTTTTATTGCCAAAGCATAAACACCTCAAAAATGAAATAATTTGAAGTCCCATAATTGCGGTCAAATGTTATGGGGGTCAAAGGACACTTTAAAGGCTTAACTTGAACAAAAAAAAAAAAAAAAAAAAAAATACAACAGCTTGCCAGTCCACTTAATCATTCAATAAAAGCCTTTTCAAGCATGGTTTAAAATCTTTAATCAATACTGAAATTTTTTTTTATCAAACAAGCAAAGATGGAGTTGGTTTTTTCCCAGGCCATGCTTCTTTTGCGTATTTCTTCTTCTTGGGTTCTGGTGCCATATTTGCTTCATTAACAATATTAGTGTTTGGAACAGTTATGGTGTAATCAGGTATTACTTCTGGAGGTTCTAAATCTATATCTGGTGCTGGATTTGGTAGATGCAAACCTAACTTCACAGACAGTGATGGTGTGAACAACGGACTGATTGGACCATGTCCAGAGTCTGAGCGAGAAACATCATTAGCTGTATGAAATGACTGAGACATTCTTTTAGCTGGATTGGAATTGAGTCCAGTACCAAATAAATTGGATGATTCTTCTCTTTGTCGCTAAAAGAAACAAACATATATTTCAGTTATAATACTTAAAATCATACTCATTTATATACTGTCAGCATGGGAGCAAATTAAAATATAAAATTTAAATAAGAAATGTATATAGTTTGATAGCACTCATTAAAAGAGAAAACTCTATTTTTCCTCCTTCTTTCGTACTAAGATTTTTGATAAATTTTGATTCACAAACATTTAAAAAAAAAGTTCTCATGTTTTGATTTCTTATCCATCTTACATTTTTCTTGTAGAAAACAGGAGGAGGGGCATTTTCATACTCCTTTCTTAACAAATAGTCTTTATTTCATTTTTTCAATATAAACTTTGAATAAAATCACATTTAAAGGATCTAATAACGGATTGAGTAACATCATTATCATGTTTTTAACTATTTTAAGTAGGTATTCATTAAAAAAAGGCTATTTTCTTTTCATTCTGCTATTCTGTCTCAATGGTTTGGATCCATTTCAAAATACACACTTGTTTATTTACTTAAAAAGGTATTAGGACATATGTTGAATATGTATACCACGTGATCCAAAAAGCAAAACTTCAGTAATTTGAAAACAGTGAAGGCATGCAGAAAGAAGGAAGAAAATACCCTATATACTCTCCCTTTCAAAGGGTGGCTGGGAATGAGGGGACCCAATCACCAAATTCTGGTGGTGACGAATTATTGTGTGCGACCTTTTAAGTTCATGGGCCAATGAAGAATAATTAGGGTTTTTTTGGGGGGGGAGCAGGAGACGTGAAAAATATGCAATGCCCTCGCCAGAATTTGAATGCCAGACCTCCCGAATATGCGTCGAGTGTTGTTCCTGTTGCAACGCGAAGGTATGCAGAAAGGGCGGAAAAATACCTTATACCCATAAGTCAAAAAATTAGTCGTAAAAATAAGAAAATATTTCATATGTTTTTGAGAATTATCAATTATGGAATTATGACAAGATATAAAACTTGAGGCATTTTTAACTGACCACAAATTGTAATTCTCTTTAGAGAGAATAAAAGTATGCACTTAAGGCAGAAATTCTCCACTTTTTCTTACATCAACCCTTTTTTAAAGAATAGTTTTCTTCATTGATCTTTTTACATTTTCCTCCGTATTATATTATATAGCATAGTCATAATATAAGTAACTGCACATAAGTAACTTAAAAGATAACAAACCAAGAATGTGAAAATTTTTTTGAAGAAAAATGATTTTATTACTATTAATATAATTATTATTGTTGTTATTTGTATTATCATTATTTTAAATTTTACAATAGAAACAAGTTTTCAGAAACAAAATCACAGATTCCAAGTGCACAAATGTTCAATTTTAATGAATCTGATGGGTCACTTGATGTGCTGATACAATATTTTTTAATATTTGGTATAAAACTGCTTAACTTAATTCTTAAATCCCCTCATTAAAAAATATTCAGCTTGTTTTCTGCAGTAAATTATTGACTTGACTACAGCCTGCTTCCAAAAGGTAAGAAGAGGCAGAAGTCAATGTATGGTAACTTTTATTTTGGGATATTTCTCTCAGATAACTTCTAAATTTTCAAACAGCATACCTATGTATTTTAAATAAGACTTGACTTTGTATAATATAATTTTATATCTATAAATTACTTATAAATTTCATAAATAAATTTTTTAATCAATGTGATTTTTATTATGCCAATCAACTGCTCAATAGATTAAAAACAACATTATGCTATTTAATTACATAATAAATATCATACTCTGAAGTCTGATAATGAAAAAAATGTAATTTCAGAGACATGAAAGAAAGAGTTATCAATACATGGTTTGCAGACAATATTATTTTAGATAATGAAATGTAACAATCACATTACTGAAACAGTTATTCACACAGAACTAATGCTAGATAAAGACCTGGACAATGTAAAAGATGTCAAAAAGTTAAAGGGAGGAAGACAAATTAATTCAGGAAGGCATGAATATTCCTTAAATTGATAAGCTACATAGAACAGCAGAGTTATTAAAATATGTCTGACAAAAAAAAAAAAAAAAAAAAAAAAAAAAAAAAACAGAATTTTTTTTTTTCTTTCAGTGTAAACATAAAAAGATAAATGACAGTGATGAACTTGTTTTTTAGCTAAATAACTGCATAACATATACATCATATATGATTTTGAATTTTAATTTACAAACTGTAATTTGTATTTTGTATGTGTTTTGAAATTAGCCAGTCATTCATTTATCTGAGTGTAACTTCAATTACACAGAGGAAATCTATTGTATGTTATGTCAAATTGTGCTAAAACTTTTTTCATATATATCTGTAATCAAGTTATACTTAAAACAAGACAGATGAACGTGCATAAAAATATAATTTAAATGAGAACACTGTGAGAAATGAGCTTTAGAGCACTGTGTAGAGAAAAAACTTTTTTCCTTCTCAATTTAATTCTATGTGGTAATATGCAATCTAATTATTCGTTATTCTGTTATCGAGACTAGATTCAGAAATGTATGTACATATGCATTATGTGCATACACACACATGCATACATAAACACATACATTAATACATACATACATTTCTTAATCCAGTTCTGATAAGAGTACCAATTATTCTTCAAGAAGCCTTGACGATTCACCTAACTTCTATAAAGTAATATTTCACACAAAAATGCTCCTAAAAATGTCCCTTCTATCATCAATACTAGGTATAGAATGCTGAAAATTACTGAAATATTCTATTTGAAAATATGTGAGTGTAGTGCCCATCCTCTAAGATAAGTTTCTTTTACATGGCACCTATATCCTTTTATGCATTTACACTTATGATATTTGGCAACCATCTACAAAAGTTTTAAAATAAACTAGGACGGGAAAAAAAAAGCATACCTTTTATTTCCAAGATTAAGCAATTCAATATTTATATAAATTTAATTTCCTACAAAATCTTGATTTGTTTAATAAAAAAACTGCTTTATAAATCACAGCTTGTAACATTGTGAAATGTAGGTATAACAAAAATAATGAACCTATCAGACAGTTTTTAATTGGTGATAAAAGTCATTCAGAATGAGCCTCATTCAACATATTTCAAACAGAAAGACTGATTACAGCCCTGAATAAAATAAATATGGAAAGTGTAATTTGATTCAGGTGACTATTAGTATACATTTTGCGATTTTGTAGAAAATTCCAGTTATTATATTGTACTTTTTTAAACCCATTTTGGAAATAGATGAACATGATTGAATGGTAATGAAAATTAAATAGCTGTTAGTAAACTGTTAAGAGTATTCTGACAGTCGTCTTTGAATTTTCAGATATTACTAACAGTGATTTTTTTGGTGCTTTTCTAGTAAAGTCATACCACACATTTCTGAGATAAAATGTAATGATCGGGAACAGCTGTAAGGAATATTCTATAATTTCATGACAAAATCTGCCCCAAACCCACTGTTGAGAAAGAACATGCTTGCATTACTTTTTAAATATTTTTGTGAATAAGTTTTCATCAGTTTCCACAACTTTGTTAATTCATCTATTGTAATGATAGAATGATATAAAAAAGAATTGGCACATACCTCTGTTGCATAATTATTCCAATTAACTGCTATATTGCAAATAATTTAAAGCAAGTTTTAATTCATAGAACTTAACAGATTTTAATTCCTGACATCATACGCAAATTAATCGTATGGCACTGCTGAAAGGAGTGTATGACCCAATTAAGCCAGTTTGTGTTTGCACATAAAACCATATCTGTGCCTTTTTCATCCCAGGATGAACACAAGCTGCCAAGGAAATATGCCAAAACAAAAAAAGGTGCCAATATGACATAGAAAAATACCAATTATTCTTACACCAAAATTTAAGTTCTTTCAAAGAAGTAACATTTAGAAAATATTACATTGATCTGTAAATTATTTGCACAATGGTTTACTCTGAACACTACATTTGCAAAAACACTGAAAATTGCACTCGTTTACAAAATGTTAATAAATTACTCACTTTATTAGGTATGATGGCAGATTGAACTAAGTTACGAAAGCGACCTACAGTAGGATCTATGTCCTCTGGAAAAAACAAAGATTTTATGTAATTAAACAAAGCATTTTCAACATGCATAGGTTCAAAATTTTCAGTACTTTCTAATTATCCACATTTCCATGAAAAGTTGTCACATGACAGACGATTCCATGAATTGGTGAAAATAAGCTATTTTAAAAACTTAAAGCACTATCCAGTTCAAAAAAAAAAAAAATCTTAAAAGAAATAATAACTTTTAAGAGGGAAAACATTACATAGAAATATGGATAATTTGAAAGTACCAGTTTGTTTTTGAAATAATCAATAATTACCAGGATTTATAATATCTTCTTCATTACTGAAATGAACAGAAATACTTTTCCTCTTTCTGTTTGGTGGTTTTATTTCTTCATCTGTGATACCCAATATAGTTATTCTTCTATTGTGAGCAGTATTAAATTCAGTAAGATTCTGTAAAGAACAAAAAACCACAGATTAGCTGTTTTCTGAAAATTGCATAACAAATAGCAAAGTAATAAAAGCTATAGACAAATACCATCAATATTTTCTCTAATTATAAATTATGTTATTTTTTAATTTTAGAAATTAAAAGATAACATCTAGCTAGGTAAATACTTCTATGAAATACACTGGTGTGCAAAAATTAAGGACGAAGTCGAAAAATTAGCATATCAGCTGAACGAAGAGGCAGAGCGGACAGAAAGACCAATCAGGAGATTAAGTAAGGTGATGTACGGTAGCACATGCGCAGATATGCAGGTAGACGTAATGGGGGAGTGTCTGAGTAGTATAAAGCATGTTGTCGGTGTAAGATCAGTATTTCTGACAAAGAGATTGCACGCCGTATAGCAGTTAAAATCACACCGAGTTGCTGCCTCAGCGAGAAATGGCAAATAATCAATCTGTTAGATGATATCTGGATGCTAATTCAGAAGTCAAACAACAAAAATCAGCGTTATACCTACAAAATTTTCACAGGACTAGTTTCGATGGTTTTACCGAACCATCATCTTCAGATGATGGTTCGGTTACCGTGGCCAGAAGACTGCACGGTGGTGGGTCTGTTTGCACGACGCCCTATACGGTGTGTACCTCTAACGCCTGCCCATCGGAGAAGCGTTCTCTGTGGTGCCGGGAACACCGGAATTGGAGAGACAATGAATGGGGACGAGTACTCTTTACAGATGAGAGCAGATTCAGTCTGAGTAGTGATTCTCATTGCATACTCATCTGGAGAGAGCGGGGAAGCCGCAATCATCCCTCGAACATCATTGAAAGGGACAAGTATGGAGGTGGCGGTGTTCTCGTTTGGGGAGGCATCATGCTTGGTTGTCGTACAGACCTTCACATCTTCGACGCAGGTTCAGTCAACGGGACCCGTCATTGTAACAAGATTCTTCTTCCATATGTGCGCCTTTTTAGAGGCGCTATGGGTCCGCAGTTCCTTTTCATGGACGACAATGCACCATGTCATCGCACAGTAGCTGCCGAACAGCTCTTAGAGAGTGAGGATATTGAACATATGGATTGGCCGGCACGATCTACGGATCTCAATCCCATCAAGCATGTATGGCATTTTCTAGGCAGACACTTGGCAGCTCGTACCTTACCACCAGTAATGATTCCGGAGCTTCGATTGGCGCTGCAAGACCAAATGGGCAGCAATGCCTCAACAACTCATCGACACCCTCATTCTCAGCATGGGCAGACGCTGAAACCTGCATAGCAGTCAGGGGAGATCATATCCTCTATTAAAGACCAGATGTTTCTTGCTGGACACCCATCACAGGGATGTTTCGGTCTTCAGTCGCATTGCGCTCCATGCTACTTTTTCAATAAAGCTTCTTTTTATCCCTCTGATTTCTCTTTTAGTAAGTGTTGCTTACATTACTCATGTCCTTACGTATTGGGAATCTTACGGTATTAAATGTGTTGATTTGGAAAGCTTTTATACAAAGTTATATTGAAAAAACCGTCTCGTCCTTAATTTTTGCACACCAGTGTATACTGGTTTGAGAAGAAAGTAATTCCAGCTTTTTAGTGTTAAATAAAACTCAATGTTTTCTGTACAAAAAAAACTTTAATGAGTCAAATATCTTCCAATTGTCACGGTAGAACATGATTCCTTCGTGATTTGCCAATTCTGGCCTTTTCTCTTTAACTGCTTCCTCCAATTTTGTAAGTTGATGGCAATACACATCTTTTGGTAGCTTGAAAGCAGTTCAAAATGCACAACACCTTTGTAATCCTTCCAAATTGGCAGCATGATCTTTTTCTGAAGCAATTTAACTTTCAATATGATTTATGCTGATTCGCCTTGGACCATGATCTTTTTTGATTAATGTTATTCTAAGATGATCCCTTTTTTTTATCACCAGTTTTAATTCATTTAAAAAAAGGGTCAACTGCATTACGTTCGAAATGCGCATCACAAATATTGATTTGTTGTATTATGTGAATTTCTTTCAATTCATGCAGAACCCAAATATTGAGCTTCTTAACGAGTCCAAGACATCTTATGCAATTTTCAATTGTTGTGTGTGATACATTTAACCTTTTTGCAATCTCTCACACAGTTATGTGATAATCCGATTCAATTATGGCTTTAATTTTGTCATCATGAACTTCAAAGGGTCAGCCAGAACACTCGTCATCTTCAAGTGAAAATCTCCAGAATAAAATTTTCTAAGCTAATCTGACACATGTATTCTGTTACGCAACCAATACAATAATAAACTTCACATATCTCTTTGTAAGCCTAGGCTGCTTTCTTGCCTTTAAAGTAAAATATATCGAAAATGTTAATTTTTGTAGCCCATGTTAAACCTGACCATAAACTAATATACACAGAATTTGTTTCGATAGCAACCTAAAAGTGTCAGCTGCCAAATCTCTAAAGAAAAAAAAAAAAAAAAAAAATACATGGGTGACAAAAGAACAACAAAATGAACATAAATCATATATTTGTGATATTCATATCTATAACATATTTGTGCAAATCGAAATTACTTTCTTGCCAACACAATAATATACATTATATAAAACTTAAAGCACAGCTGTTCACGTTTTCATGTTGCATGGGAATGGCAATTTAAAACAACTCCACACTGACTTACATTCACTCTGTAAAGCACAATTCAGGTTGGTTGGTATGTGCATATTTTGGCACAAAACCTCAGAGGTTATACACACCGAACCACATGTCAGACATTTAAAATACAGCTGATATACATTATATAAAACTTATCTCCCTGTAAAACAGACATATATACAAATAGACAGACAGGGTTAAAATCAAATGAAAAGTATAAAATCTAAAACTGACGAAATGATCAATGCTCAGATGAAGTTGGGTGTAAAATTCTAAAACATGAAATAATTTAAAACACTAAGGTGTAACGGCAACACAAAATCAAATTAAATTATAAAGACCTGTTCTTTTTCAGGTAGTTGAATAAATTTGTATTGGCCTCTTTCCCGATTACAAGGTCCAGAGGCAAGTCACAGTCATTAAAGTATTTCATTCGAAGTATGTTAAAATGTGGACATTCAATTAAAAAGTGGCAAACAGTTAAAACATCATTACAGGTTGAACATGCAGGTTGAATCTCGGCCTTCAACAGATAACTATGCGTGGCTCGAGTGTGACCGATACGAAGGCGGGTTAAAATTACCTCCTCCCTCTGGTTTCTGTTTGTCTCCCAGTACTCTAATTTAGGTTTGACACTTCTCAATTTATTCAAAACCTGATTGTCCCAGAATAACTGCCATTTGAGATTCTCTGCTTGATTGAACGATTTATAATATGATTTTGATTTAAAATAAATTAAAATAAAATTACATAATTTTATATTGTTTTAGCTAATTTTATTTTGTAATTATCTTAAATTTCTATTAGAAAATCCTAACTAGGAAAGCTTTTATTTAGCAAAATAAGATGAAAATCAAACTAACAATGAATGTACATACTATTACATTTAGAAGTGTAATAACATATCATATACTGATGTAAAACAAAATTAAATGCAAACATTAACGAATTAAACATTGCTTGGATCTTCATAAATAATTCTTTAAATGTCTACAGTAGATTAAGATAAATTAAAATAAAATTTAGTAATGAAAATTATGATGAAAATTATGATGAAAATTTCGCTGAGGTAAGGAATGAAATTTTCAAACTCAAATAATTAATTAAACTTCATTTACTGCTGGGAAACATTTTCCTTAGCAAAGGCTTACAGATAAAAACCAATCTCCCGGTAAAACTGGCAGAGCTGGCAATCAATGAAATTTAAGAAATAAAACAATAAAGACACAAACAATTTCTGAATTATTTAATCAATTCAGCTGGTTTTGATGATTCTGACTGCATTATTTTCTTTGGCTACAATTAAATAAATAAATTTCAACCCTTAAAAAAAAAATCCTCTGGAAATAAATTAGGGAAGAATATTCAATAAGTTTCATTTTCCTTCATAACAAATGCAAACAGAATATTAGGTGCCATCTAAGAGTGAAAACTGGAACCAAGAACAAAAAATAAATTTAAAAAAAAAGTTTGGTTGCAGATTAGAGGGAGAAATGGGTTAGAATTTTAAGTGTTGATTAAAGAAGAAATAATTTTTCTTTATGGAGGAGGGATTATTCAAATCTATAATCAACAGTAATACATAAAATTAAACTTTAGTAGATTTAATTTCCATTTCAAAACATTATTATTACTATTTGAATGTACATGATCTTTTACTGTATAATCAGAATATGCACTAACACTATTACAGCTGCAATGATATACAGCCTCTACAACTGAACGTGCTCTGCATGCCAAGTTTTCAATTAGATTATTAGATTCCAAGATTTCTTAAATCACAGTATCATTTAAAAAAATAAAAAGCCTTCATCAACCTATCAAATCGTCATCATATTACAGAACACAGAATTCTTTCTATTACTCTTCTTAGATTAAGGCAAGTACTTAAAAAAGGAGGGGCAGAATATCATAGTTTCAGCAGCCAATTATAGTGTGCTTCTCTTAAATAGGCACTTGAAAGCCATTTCCACACTTACAATGGTGACACGTGTCGTGTCGTCATCATGGCACAGCACCACCTAATTTGAGACAGTAGTTCGATTAAGCCTTCATTCGTGGGTTTCTTATAGAGTGAAATATGCTAAATGGAAATGGAGTGGAAGAAAAAAATTAGGCCGACGAAGCTATCTGCTGCAGATGTTATTCGCATGGATACAAAGCAAGCTGGGCAACAAAAAAAAAAAAAAAAAAAAAAAAAATGACCCTGAAGTTCTTATTTTAAAGTAATAGACTATAGCTTATGGTTTGATATTTTAAGAAGAGTTCCTTATCAGTTGCAGATGGCAAAATTCTAACACAGTGAATTTTGCTAAGTAATTGGTTACCGATGTCCGACATGATTTCAGAGTATACACAAATAACATACGCTGTCTAATAGCCTTTTAAAGCATGGTTCTAATAGCATCCTAATTATTAGAAAACTGAATTGTCCAAAGAAGTAAGAGTGTCTGTGCAAAAAATAAAGGAATATACAATTCTTATTTAATAAAACTTCTTATTCCATGCCTACACCAAAGTCACAAACAGGTATTACACAAATTCTTTAATTCCCTAACAACACTAAAAATCAGTTATAAATTTTCCAGAAATGAAATTTATAGTAGTTCCTTATGGATTGAAAAACAAATTTTATCAATGACAGAAAATAATTCAGAAGTAGAAATTATGAAAAGTTCAGATAATTTTGTAATTAATGAAAGGGAAAATGCGAATATATATTGGATTTATTATAATCATTTGTAATAGAAATAATACTTTTATTAAGGTGATAAAGGAGTGTTTTTAATACTCATCAATCAGGTTTCCAATATCCATCACAATCTCCCTACTTAAATTCTCCAATGTTCTCCCTTAAATTTTCTCCAGTGTGTTAAGACTTAATTTCCATCCTTTCTTTGCATAGAGGCACTATAATTGTTAGTTTTCATTATTTATTTTGTCTACTGAAACATACTATTTCCAATACAATCGCAAAGACATTTTTTGTCCCTTCAAAAAAAGCCAGACCTCTTTGAAACATGGAGCTTTGGGAAAAAAAAAAAAAAAAATCAATTAAGGTTGCATTTTGCATAAACTTATAATTCCAGGAAAATCCCATTCCATGACCATTCTTTTAATTTCCAGTCAAATTACAATAATTGTTTCTTTTAGCTTAAAAAGCAGGAAAAAAAAATATCATCAAATATCTTCATTACTTTAAGCAAACCATTTAATGTCAACTCCTTTTATGCTTCATTGCTAAAAGTATGTTTCAAAATACTGTACTGTATTTAAGCAATTAAAATACATCAAACACAGAATATAAAAATATCTAACTTAAAGATGGATTTAAAAATATATCATACATCTAATTCAGTTTCTGTTTCAGGAAGACCCAACAAACCACCTTCTAATTCATCACTTTTCTTCTCCAGATCCTCCGATGATGAACGGTTGGCTTTCTGAGGTCTTTCACGTAATATGTACATTCGCGTAGATGCACCAAAATGAAACTTGCTATCAACTGGTAACTGAGTAGGTTTATGTGGTTCTAACCTAATACTACCAATGAATGTGCCATGAGCTAAAGAAAAAAAATATCTAGTCAATGATTAATTTTTAATAAATAACATTATGTACAATCATATTATTTAAGATTTCAACATGAAACGTTATTTTTTTAAATATTATTGATGAATAAATGAGCAATATTTATTTACAATAACAGTTTAGTATAAACACATTATTTATAATTTATTTGCACTTTCTTCTAATTCATTAAATATTATACAACCAGTACAATTTGCAATATTATTTGATAACATTTATAAACTATTTTAATTAACTGAATTATTTTAAATACTTTTACACACACATCTAAACCAGAGATATTTACAAAATAACAAATATTAATCTAATTAATGGGTAGAATTAACAAGCACACTTCAGAATTCATTACAGATGAAAGTATGCTGTAGTGAGTACAAAGTATGTGTAGTACAAATTGTATGCTTTCAACATTCAATAATAATTAAATGTCAATTGGATTTTTATCAGTGGAATGCTTAATAAAACACAATTTATTGTTTAAATAATATGTATTCACTTTTAATATATTTATTTAATAAAAAGTTGAGATTACACATGAATCTGTATCAGTTAAATAGCTGTTTAAAGAGCTATAGTATATTTTGTATATATGAGTATTTAAATCATTAATATATATCTCTGGATTTTAATATAAAAGGTTACTGATACAAAAATATTTTCAATACATATTGATATATTTTTTTGTACTTATGCATTATCCTGTAAACTGTCCAAGTAGCATGATTTAACCCAATTACGGATGACCATTTCCTTTAGAATTCTTCTGAATGATTGGTGGCCATTGCCAAAATTTCCACCGACAGTCAGTGAGATAATATGCAAGTGCCATTATTTTTAACTGACTTACTTAAGCACTTAATGTATTTTACACTAGTACTTGTACATTACTTAGAACCAAAAATCATGATAACAGCTAAGTTAACTTGAAAAAGTGAAACTGATCTTACTTTTTTTAATAAAAACTTAAAATTAAGACACTGCATATTAATTTTCATATTTAAATGTTTCAAATAGACTTATTAAGGGGTAATAATTTAAAACATTAAATTCCAAATAATTAATGAGTACTGAAATCATGTCTCATTCCTCTTGACTATTTAAGCAAAAATAAAATTATGAAAATATAAAATAAACAAAATAAAAAAGTTTATACAAAAAAAAAAAAAAAGTATATATATATTTTCACCCCCCCCCTTTTTTTTACACATTTAAGATTTCTTCAAAACTTTCCAGACAGTATCATCTTTTTCCCATTTTTAAAAATTTCTGTTTTTATTATATACATATACATATATCTGTTTACTTTTATTTATGTATTCATTTAAAACAAATGCAAAATTTTTATTTTGGACTTTATTTTAATTAATTAATTTATTTATTTCCAATATTCCCATTTTTTAATGCAGAAATTATGAAGCCCTATTTATATTTACCTAAAAATGAAATTTTTAGTTTAAATATCTAAAAGTAAGTCTAAAAGTAATTTATTTATTCATTTAAAAGTCTTTTATTTCAAAAATTGTAAACATGAATTGAATACCATTTACTAAAGAATAGCACTTACTACTTCCAAGATCTACTAAAAATGTACGGTTCAAATGCTTGTGATATACTAGAGCTGCATGAACTCTTGAACAGGAAGCATGATCAATACAAAAATCATTTAATTCAGGATTTCGACCAAATAAGTAACATTTCTTTTCATCAATCATCAGTTTCTATAAGCAAAGATAAATGATGCATTAAATGTAAATATATCATATATACAGTAATACTATTTAAAATATACATCATAATAAAAACTTAAACCTCTTAAAGATTAAAAGGTACAAATTTATGCAATTCTGCACTTTTTTTTTTATTTTTTGGAGTTTAGATCACATAATAATTTGGAGTTACTAGAGCAGAGACTAAGTTTTTTATAATTAAAATAACATATAAAATAATTTTATTAGGATATTATATAGAGTGATCAATAAATGAATTATCACCAAATTTTAAAAAATCATTATTCCCCATATAATTATCCAAATTCCTCCTAAATAGTACCATACCATCCCTAATGCGTAATGGCAAACCGCACATTGAGTTGATCAATGTTAAATGAATTTCGCTAACTGCGCATGCCCAAGAATAGAATTTGGCGCAATTACAACTTTGGCGTGCAATTTTAAAAGACGATAAACACGGTATATGGTTGATATTGTGTTATCTACGCGTAAACAGTTCGGGGTTTTAAAATTTGTTAGGTTGTAAGTTGCTTCATTACTTTGATTATAATTATCGATTGTAAACTACGCACATTTTCGTTTAAGAAGGATTACAAAACAGGAAACATTACAAGATATATTAGCTGAATGCTTATTGATTATACTTCTGAGGAATAAAAGCAATTGAGCATTTACTATACGTTCCTTTCATATATACTGTCAAAAATTAAGGAATAAATCCAGTTTAAATTACTGAATTAAAGTCAAATAACTGATGTTAAATTAAATGTTTATGAACAAAATAGAACAGAACGAAATGAAACAGAAGCGCATGCAAATTCCCGTAATACTGCAATTGTAAAAAAGTAAAAACAACATGACTAACAGGCTTGTGTAGGGTTGCCCCCCTTAGTCGCCGTTTCCTCCCACGCCAACGGTACACCACCGAGCATGCGCACTAAGCGAAATTCGTTAACATTGATCAACTCAATGTGCAGTTTGCCATTATGCATCCCTAACACATAAACTTATTCGTAGTAGTGATGAAGACATGAGAATGAAATACGAGGGAAATAAGTCCCATTGGGGTTATAACTGTCAACCATCACATGTTTTAAGCCAGATAATTAAGTCCTGAAGCAAACCTTAATTATTTACAGAACCATCAAAAATTTGCATTCCTTTTAAGACTGTGCAGGGCTGAAAAGATGCAGTGAATATATATTTAACCTCCAGTGGAAGCCAGTTACGGATTGATTACCAAATATTAATATGGTAGATGGAGTAAAAAGTGGAAAATGTCTGGAGTTCAGAGATGTGATAGTCATTAATGCTGACACACTAATAAACCTAATCATAATTTTATGAATCCCAAGTGCATGCAGTTGAAATTCTAAGTTTTCAGAGAAATTCTTAAGTTTCTAAATTTTTAGAGAACATTTTCTTAGTGCAACAAAACTTGAGAATAATAATGATGACCTAGTCTCTTTTTCTTACATATTAAATTTTTCTTCAATGGAAAAAAAAAAAAAAAAAAAAAATTGTATGTAGATAAATAACTAAGAACTATTTTTTACTGAAGCTTGATATTTCCGTTTTGATAAAGTTTGTAAACTAGGAGAGAAATTATTAAAGATTACTTCCATCACAGATTGCAGATGCTCATAGGTCAATGAAGTTTTTTTTCTTATTATTTTTCAAATGTGGAAAAAGGTTTTCACATAATTTGTACTTTTTATATTCAGAATGTGGCTTGCTGGAAATGTTTAGCGACTGATACAGCATATCATTCTCCTGATAATATTTCTGATAGTGAAAGAGATTTTCGTTATTTTGAAGATAGCAATGGCAAAACAGATTGTTATTCAGACTCATTTCCAGGCACTGATGAATACGAACTCAGTTAATGTTTGAATTGATTCATACCCACCCAAAATGTTTAGGTTTCTGTAATCTGTGAAACGCTTTTCAGAAAGAACAACTCAATTCAAAAATTAAAACTCCTGGAGTATAGAACACAGATGATTGAGCAAAGCATATCCAAAAATATTCAGATGGAGATACATGTGATACATTTAGAAGACCTAGTTCTACTCTCAACCTCTGAGAATGCATCATTTTGCATACCACACATCTCCTAATCCCTTTTTTTTTTTTTTCTTTGAGAACATATAGACTCCCCGTGCACCACATATGTACAACACGGGGCTTACAGAAGTAAGTTAACAGAAGTAAGTTAGAACATTAAGGTTACATGTATAAATAAACATTAAAAATTACATGCAAAAATAAAGTGAACAAAAGCAGAGAACAGCAGTCTGGACTTCACGAAAACAGATAAGTTCACTGGCCAAGTCACTCCGAACATTTTCAAATCGTACTGTAAGCATAATCTAGGGCCATCTAATGTAGGGCACGAGAAAATCAAATGTTCCACATCCTGAGGAACTCTTTTTGAACATTCACATAAATTGTTTGATCGTAGATTAAAACGAAACAGATAACTTGCAAATTTACCGTGACCAGATAAAAACTGAGACACTTTAAAATTTAACGAGAGGAAAGACTCGGAATTCAGTCTATGGTAAATAGAAGGAAGGAACTTTTTGGTGACTTCAAATAGCTCTTTGGAATGCTAATCTTGATATCAATAGGTAAATTTAAGGCATCTTTAGCTAAGAAATCAGCTCTTTCATTTCCGTAGAAACCATGATGAGCACGCACATAAGCAAAGCAGATATCAATACCTCTAATTCTAAGTGAACTAACAGTTACTAGGGTTTTAATAACTAATTTATCGCAGCTGGTAATACTTTTCAAAAGTTGAATCTTCTCAAAAGAGAATCAGAACAAATAAGGTACTTTGAGAATGTTGTCCCATGATCCTGGATCCATTTGACGGCAAGATAAATGCACAGAAGTTCTGTTTGAAAAACTGTACATTCATTCCGTATGCGGTGTCTAAGAAAGCAAATCTCGGAATGGCCTTCAAAAAGAACAAATGCAAGGCCAACCTTGTTGTTCATCTTGCTGCCATCTGTAAAGAAAACCATATGAAAACTTATTTCAGCAGTCTCTTTATAACCACAGAAATTTATGGGTTCTAAAGAAGCTGGATGAGGAAGATCAGTGAAGGGGACAATTCCATTAATACAGTCTTCCGAAGCATGAGTTGCCAATGACTCAAAAATATTATTCTTATATGCAATTTCAAAATCAATAAGCGAAACTCCTGCAAGAACAAAAGTAGCCTCATAGCTTAAGGTTCTATAACCACTAATAATACGAGGAAGAATTCTCCGTTGAATCTTTCTTAAATTTCTTTTGTTAACCTTCTTGGCAAAAACATGTAAAAAAAAAAAAAAAAAAAAAAAAAAAAAAAAAAAACCCTCACAGACAGTGTTCAGTTTGTTGCTACCAAAAAGAAAAATTGCAGCTGGCAAAAGAATTCAAAAGAACACGAAGCTGAAGCAAAGAATATGAAATAGGACTTTACCTAAAACCTTGTTTTGAAATTTACCATATTAAACTTAATTTCTAATATAATTTGCATAAATGTTGAATATTTTCATTAGCATACAAAATTTACATTGGTATCCTATAAAGTAAATTGCAATTTATTCAAGATTTATTTACAAAAGTTCGAAACCACTGGTTTATACGATTTTGTTTCTGATTAGTTTGATTGGTCGCATAAGTATGCGCGTTCATCATCCATTTCCAATATGCAAAACAATTGTTCTATTATGTCTAAAATAACACAGATTGAACTTTTATGTTCTTCAATTATTTTTTTATCTTCATGAATGCACCTGCAAAATGTAACCTAAAAGGTAAAAATATATCTTTATTTATTCAGATAAAAAATGAATATACAAACAGATAGAATTTTAGTAGAAATACTATCTCTTTCTTGTCTAACCAGGATCAAATATTCATTTGCTAATGCAAAAAATACTTTCTCCCCTTCTTTTGTATATATGTGGAAACACATTAAGCATTAGTATTTGTATCCAAATAGACAGATTGTATATATACTGTCAAAAGTCGTTAATTCGGACACCCATAATCCGGAATGATCTATAATCCGGACCTCAAAGCTAAAACTTTCTGTGCATGCGCCGCATTGACACACGCGCATAGGCGTTTACCCGTGCGCGTAAGACCTTTACAACTGCATATATGCGTGTACGCAAGTGCAGAATACGTTTTTGCGTGCGCGTTTAATGTATAACGGACGGTATAAGCTAAAATTATCTAATTATCTATTTCAGTTAATGTTGATGATTGCGTGTTCCTTAATCTTCGAACTGGATCTGGCTTATTACTTTTTTCAGACTGTAAGAGTAATTTTATAAAAGTAAACTTGAACTTTCGATTATGTCAAATAGAATTTCCGATACTGGAGCTCCCAAAGGATCTACAAAACGAAAGTATGTTCCGATGTCCATCAAACAAAAAGTGGAATTGCTGCAAAAAATGGATAAAAACATGAAGAAGATGACAGAGAGGTTAGTGAAAACGAAAAAAATTCAATTGACAGGTTAGTCGGTATTCTCGGCACAGCAATTACGAGACTTGAACAGCGGAACTTTGTAAACTTTGAACAAAGAAATATGTCTGTTATAGAATGAAGAGAAAGTATTATCACATAAAACGAAGCAACAACTTAAACCAACCTACCTTGAAAGAAATGTTTAATAAAGTAAACAAATAAATATTAAGCTTTTTTCTTGTAAATTTCGATACCCTTTAGATCATAATTGTTTTCTTTATTTTCATAAATTACGGTTTCATATTTTTAATTTTAGAATTTCTGCATGCCATCTTACGAGATTAAAACTGATGATCTATAATCCGGAAAAATCGATAATCCGGAATCGCCGAAGTCCCGACGAGTCCGGATTAACGACTTTTGTCTGTATGTCCTCATGGTTTAGTTTAATTTGTTTTAACTGATCACAGCAAAGCACTTGAGGGTTATCTGCCTATGTTAATTTATATTCGACTACATTATTTTACAATGTTAACTTTTTGCTAACAAGTGAGAGATCAGTATGATATGTAGATAATGGCTTTTCACTTTTTAAGTATTAAATTAGAACTTGAAATATGCACTTCACAGACGTTGAAGATGAAAAACTGTAAACACTGAAAGATAATTTATAGCACAGCTGGTCTCAAGAGAGATTTTCTGGCTCCAAAACTTCACATGTACTTTTGTGCAAGAAGATTAAATTAATATTTAGTAAGATGCAGCACCTAGACTTGAATGTTCCAAGGATTTCCTAAATTCTATTCAACATCCCCTATATAATTTAATGCTTTTTGAGCAGAGGGTCCATGAAAGCAAGTTAAACAGATTTACTCTTTCATCAACAATGAGTATTTCTGTTTCCCAGCTTCTTTTAGTCTGAATACTTCAGTTCAATTGTTTACAATGTCAGTTTTTTTTGGGGGGGGAAGAGGCATTCTGTATAAGCCAAGCTCAGTTTGCTCAGACTTCTCATGAAGCGAAGAAGAGGCCATTTCTTTTTTTTAAAAAAGGAAGGACATTGGCAACAAATTCAACATGTAACCAAAATCATGAAATGAAATTTTATTTTTCTGGTGAAGTTAGATGGCAATGAAATGTTTCTACCTGCCGCAGCAAGAACAGCATTCGTAAAGACATGCGGTTCGAAATGTCCATATTACGTTTTCTAACATCTTTAAGATTATAAATAAGTAAATAAATAAAAAAGTGGTCTTGAAATGATCATTGAAATTGACAAAGCTTGTTTACCAAATGAAAGAGCGATGTTGGTTGAATTCTTCCGGAACAGTAGATATTAGGTGGTATTTGCCGCCAAATCAATGAATGCTTCCTATTTAAGGTTCCAAACTGTTCTCTACTAGTACTCTTAGATGCAATATAAATCTATTTCGAAGAAGGATCTATTGTTTATTCCAATTCCTGGAAGGGTTACTGCACCACTAAAATTGAAGAAACAAGTCTACAACATTTCAAAGTCAACCACAGCTATTATTTTGTTGACTTCGAAACTGGTGTAAATACACAAAAAAAATCAAATGATTCTGGAGCAGAACCAAATGGAGAAATAAAAAACACTGCGCACTGCCCATCAGCTCATGGAGACGTACCTTGCTGAATTTATGTGAAGAAGAGAAGTAAACGATCAATTTCAGAAAATTCTCAAGGTAAATTTCTTGAATGTTTTCAACTTTGTTTTGGTTAACAGCCATTCTGTTCTTGTCACTTATGCAAGTAGTCCTAAAAGTCACACACGTGCACAAAGAAAAAGAGTTGGCAGGATTTGTGACCAACTAACCAAAAAATACCACAATTTTTAACTAGCATATCCTGCACATTCCGGATAATCAAGCATTTATTGCACTAAAAAAAAAAATAAAATAAAATACCTAAGTAAGCCTAGAAATACCAAAAAATAAGATAAAAAATTACCCATTAAGAAACATTATTCATATAAAAAATAATGAATATCCGTTATCAAGCTAGAAAATGAGAAAAACCTCTAATATATTCTGCATGCATCTCTACTATTAAATAATGAAGAATCTATTTGTACATATGTTTGTATGTTCTTCATACTGCAGAAAAACACAGCACCTAGGCCACCATATTTTGAATACACTTAAGTCCTCTAACTGAATATGCACCTCAAATGCCAGAATTTGTTTTTTTATTTATTTCATACTTTGTACAAATTTGATAAGTTTTCAATTAATAAGATCAGTGATTTGAAAGCAAGCAATGGAAACACTGTTTGAAACAAAATAAAGGATATTTATTTTTTGAATTTTAATCAATCTCAACTATTTAAAAGAAATATGCTGCCATTAGTGGAAATAAAATACTTTTTATCTTCCATGCACCAGTATGTTGCTATTCAATAAAGAATAAGATAATTAACACTCAAATTTAATCTGTCTATTACTGATTAATAAACCAAGTGATTTAAAAGCAATAAACACAGTTTTTAAGGACATTTTTCAACTTTTCAAGCTAAATAAGTTAAATAAAAATACATGTAAACCACAAGATGTCTAATTAGAATTTTAAATATTTTTATAAAATTTTACTAACTGGACCCATTAAAATCATTACATAAATTTTCCATTTTATGACAACTATTGTTACGAATTTATATTTAGATAGCTAATTTTAGTAGAATTATAATTAAAATTGTTGTATTTCCTTGTGCAATGCAGTGTGAGACAAATTTTAAGAGAAAGCTATACAGAAAAAGTACAAATACAGGAGCATGTGCATTTAACTTTGTATAAATGGATATCTTGGTAATTTGTATTTAAATTGAATAAATGTAATTTACTACTATGTTGGTTGCAACTGCAATTCCCACCCTCTTATCACTTTCCAGAAATTGCTGGAAATATTTCACGACTGGTTGAAATCTATAAAAGACCAAACAAAGAGCATCCGAGTTCAGTTGCTTAGTCATTGTTATTGCGATTTGTTTAGCTCGGTGCAAAATAAGATATCTGAATTAGCTTTCTCTTTAGATAACGCTTTACATTGTGTTGTATTTTAATGTTTTTAGTAGTTTGAAGTATAAATAAAAATTATGCTGTGTGATATTGTGAATATGTGTAAGAATATCTCTGAGGATAATTCAAGCATTCTAATATATTTCTTTTGATAAGAATACATTTTTATTAACCTATTATCAGACTTGTTCATTTAATCTATTATGAACCCAAATGCAGACAACACTATTTTAAGCACTGGCTGTGTAAGTTATTAGTAAACATAAAAATACAAAATAACACAGATGAACATGGAAAATAAAATATTCATCAAAAATAATCTTTAAAAAAAAAAAAAAAAACAATTTGTTACCTATACTCAACATGTAAGGCAATATTTAACTGTTAAACTTTATTATTTTTTAAAAGTTGAAATTCATGTTACCTGTATTAATTTATCAACTTTCAAAACATCAAGATGAAGTCCCACAGGTGGTTTTCCAGCCCTGCAAGCAAGCAAGCGTTTAAAGAATAACTATTGGTTGCAAAAATTATCCAAATAACACAATTAAATTTTGATAAGCAAAATTCAAATAAATCTGATTTTAAAGGTGGGAAGGGGGGGGGAAGAAAAAAGTGGATTAACTGAAAATCTGACTCACTGAGAAAAATACCAGTTCAAATTCAATACTAGTTAAAAAAAAAGTTCAAAGTTACAATATACAGTCAAAAGTCGTTAATCCGGACTTCAGCAATTCCGGATTATCAATTTTTCCGGATTATAGATCATCAGATTAAATCTGGTAAGATGGCATGCAGAAATTATAAAATTAAAAATATGAAACCATAATTTATGAAATCAAGAACCATTATGATCTAAAGGGTATCAAAATTTACAAAAAAAAAAAAAAAAAAAAAAAAAGGCTTCATATTTATTTGTTTACTTTATTAAACATTTCTTTCAATGTAAGTTATTTAAATTGCTTCGTTTTTTATGTGATAATACTTTCTCTTTAATTCTATAAACAGACATAATTTCTTGTTCAGTTACAAAGTTCCGCTGTCCAAGTCTTATAATTGCTGTGTCGAGAATACCGACTAATAGGTCAATAGAAATTTTTTCGTTTTCAATAACTTCTGAGTCACTTTCTTCGCTATCAGAAGCGAATTATAATGACGAGGAATTTGATTTAAATCATATCAAAGATGGAGTACATTGAGATGAAATACTACATTTAGTAAGGAATTATAAGCCAAACAAAATAAAAACATCTGCCTTGAAGATAAGGATAGTGCTGACAGTGTAAGGATCTTAAGTTTGACTAACGTTTATTTTATTTTAAATCTTTACTATCACTTCTTATTTTCTACTTCCGGCCAGAATTATAAGCGTTAAGGTTTTTATGCAATGTTTGTCTGGCGAACGGCAAGTATTTAAGTTGTGGCTTTTTGCCAAGCGAGAGAGAGGAAGCAGTGAGTCGAAGCAGGCCGCTTACCTTAGAAGTTACTTAGTTGCTGTTTGCCTTCCAGGCCAGAGGTTTTAATCCTCTTGATAAATTTTAAACGTATTGTAGTATTCACAGTTCTCTGTACTACATACGCTTCCTGTTAATATAAGGCCAATCTTCCACGTTTCTTATTCTAAAGTTAAATTAGAGTTTAGTTTTATTTTTATACTTTTACGTTAGACCCCAAGTAGCGGGTCAGTGTATTCCGAAGTACGGAAGTTATTGTATATAAAGAAAAATAAAGGGTTTGGTATACCCTTCGTCTGTATCCTGTCTACTTACCACAATTAGTGAACATAGCTTTAGTAAGCTCTCTGTTCCGAGTCAGGTCCTTGTATGTTCCCGAAGAAGGTAAGAAGGAACATTGAACCCTGATAGTGGCGCCCAACGAAGAAGAATAACCATGGCCGAGTTTCAAGAAGAACCTGTGCTGCCTGCAGAAACGGCTCAGAATCCAGAAATGCCAGCTGCCGCCCTGGAAGGATTTGGTTACATCGTCCAGACCATGCGCGCTTCGATGAAACCAGAAGCAACATTTAATGGAAACTCACCGGTAACCAGTTTTTTTTGGAAAAATTGGATGACCACTTCATGCTCTACCTACCCCGTGCACGAGTTTCAAAAAGTTACCTTAGCTACCAGCGCTTTGAGGGGCCAAGCGCTTAACTGGTTCAAATGTATAGGCAGAAGTCTCTTGGGTCAAGCAGGAAGTCCCACCTATACTTACGAAAATTTCAAGACTGCCCTACTAAAAGCCTTCCCTGTTGTAAGGGATCGTGCGAAATTAGAAACAGAACTTTTCAGTATATATCAACAAAGAATGGAAAAAACCTCTCGAGCTTTATTTTAAGAAAAATTCACGTTTTCAAGCTCTTGTATGGAAACCGTCCGGATCCTGAAATAATTCAAGTGATTTTGCCGAGGTTACACAACTCAAGTGCAAGACTTTATTGAATTAGAAATCCGACTACACTGGAAAAGTTATTTGAGCTAGCAATCCAGTTTGAAAGTAGAAGAACGGCGGACGTCGAAAAAAGACGCCAGTATCAACAGCAAAACCAATTTGGTACGCTAAGACTACAGCAAACTCAAGCACATGGCTACGGAGAAAATGCGAATCAGTGGGCAAGGAAACCCGAGCATTCAAAAACAGCCGGCGAACGTCGACAGTTCAATAGCAACCCAGGAAAAAAGTCTCAAGGCCAGTGGAAAAGAAGGAAAGCACCGAAAGGAAAAATAATTTAAACTAAAACGGATTTCTGCTGACGAGAGGGTGCGGAAATCCGAAGGACCACGAAAACCCCTCTTCCTACAAGTTAAATACAGTAATGGTGAAAAATTTAACTCTTCCGAAGATTGAAGTCTTGGTAAAAATAATATCCCGGCCACCGCACTCCTGGATACCGGCGCGCAGTGTTCCTGTGTGGCAGAAGTCTTTTTTAGAAAGTATTTTCGCAAATACCGCATATATAATGCGGATAATACGACAGTATTAGCGGCGCAAGGAGAACAATGTAAGTGCGTAGGTAAAGTACCTTTGTACATCCGTATCAAGGACGAACAAGTAAAGGTGATGTTTTTTTATAGTAAAGAATTTGCAAGCACATTTAATACTAGGAATAGACTTTCTTTCAGACGCACAAGCTACACACTGGATTTTAATGAAGCGTCCCTTAAGCTGACGATGAAACCAGTTCGTGTAGAAAAGGCTGAACCGCCAAGGTTAAATCTTGACCACCTGCCTAATGACGAGCAAGATAGAATCCGACAAGTGGTAAGTGAATTTGCTTCGTTATTTAGTGATATTCCAGGATTTACTCAGGTTACTAACCATAGTATTGACACCGGAGATGCATTGCCGGTTCGTCAAAAAACCATACCGGTATGATAAGAATAAGGAAAAAATTATAGAATGGCATATTACCGATATGCTACGTAAAAAGATCCTAACGCCCTATCTCAAGTAGTTATGCTAGCCCGGTGGTTTTATGTAAGAAAAATAATGACTATCCTTTGGAGCATCCAAAAAGGTGGAGATTCGCTATTGATTACCGTAAATTAAAATTCCATAACTAAATATCCGGTATATCCGTTACCGATTATTAGAAGAAAATTTTAAGGAACATAAAATCAACCAAATTTATGACGACTTTAGACTTAACGAACTGGTTATTTTCAAATAGGGGTTCAGGCCTGAGGACGTGCCTAAGACTGCTTTTATAACCAAGTCTGGCACTTATGCATTTTTGCGTATGCCGTTTGGCCTTTCAGGGGCCCCAGCAACATTTCAGCGATGCATGGACATTGTGTTAAGGACCTGTTTCTTGGAAAGTCCACATTTATCTATTTAGACGATATCATTATTACTAGTGATAATCTCGACCAACATGTACAGGATTTAAGACAGGTGTTTTCTTTATTAAATGAGGCCGGTTAATGTCGAAAAAGTGCAAATTTGCAGCCCCTGAATTAAAATACTTAGGTTACAGACAGATGAATCAAAAATAATCGCTGTACAAAAGTATCCGACTCCAAACACGGCAAAGAAGCTCTCTTCTTTTCTAGGACTTTGTTCATATTATAGGTCCTTTATAAAAGATTTTGCGGCTATCGCTGAGCCATTGTTAAAATTAAAAAGGAAAAAGGCAAGATTCTCGTGGACGGCCGAAGCCAATAGTGCTTTCGAAAAATTAAAACAAGCATTAACGCAAGCCCCTGTGTTGAAATTTCCTGAAAAGGATGAGAATTTAGAAATTTCAGCGGATGCTTCGGATTATGCGGTAGGAGCGGTACTTTCGCAAAATCAGCAGCCCGTGGCATTTTTTAGCCGAACTTTAAATCAAACACAAAGAAACTATTCCGCGACCGAGAGAGAGAGGCACTTGCAGTTCTGTTAGCAGTGCAAAAGTTCCGAGTCTATTTTGGGAAAGGCGCCAATAACAGTGTACTCTGATCATGCGGCGGTAACTAGATTGTACTCAGGGAAAAAATTTATCCCCAAGGTTAATAAGATGGGCACTCAAGCTGCAAGAATATAATCTGGTAATCAAGCATACCCCCGGAAAGGAAAATATCGTAGCAGATGCCCTATCAAGAATTAAAATAGATGAACAAGGTAATACCGTAAAGGTGGCAATGCTCACAGCATGTACAATAAATTCCCGAGAAACTGTAATAACCGAACTGGGTAAGGATCCTGAGTTTGGAAGCATTTATGAGTATTTGAAGGATCCTGAAAATTTTAGCCACCAAGATATTGTGGCGATAAGAAATAGGGCGGCCCATTACGAACTAATAGATGGTCTATTATTTTATACAAAAACTACGAATTCCAACAACGAATTTCGACCTGTTATCCCAGCTAGTCTTAGATTAAATATCCTGCAGGAGCTCCATGACAGCCCTTTAGCTTCTCATGCTGGTATTCGAAAAACTATCCAACGCGTACGCGAGGCAGTCTACTTTCCTGAACTGCAAAAGTTAACAAGGGCGTATGTCCAGTCCTGCCCAACATGTCAAGCAGTTAATTATATTAATTTCCGCCCGGCCGGGTTTCTAAATAGTATTAAATCCGAATTTCCAAATGAAATAATTGGCATCGATTTATTGGGCCCTTTCCCAAAAAGTCAGTTAAATAAAAGTCGCTATCTCCTTGTTATGGTTGATCATTTTAGTAAATGGACCGAAATTGTTCCCTTAAAACGAGCCTCCGCGAAATTAGTTACTGATTCTATTTTAAATAAATATATTTTAAAATACGGGGCGCCCCTAAAAGTTATATCGGATAATGGTCCTCAATTTGTAAGTAATATATTTGAAGACATGTGCCAAAAACTGGGCATACGTCATTTAAAAATGGTCCCGTATCGGCCGCAATCAAATATAGCGGAACGGGTCAATAGAAATATAGTGAAAATTATCCGTAGTTATGTTAAAAAAATTTTCATAAAAGCTGGGATAACTATGTCAATGAATTTGCTTTCGCCCTTAGGACCGCA